CCGGACCTCCGGAATCCAAAAATCCTTTAAAACCTGCAGTTCATCTAGCAATTGACTGGGGGTTTGAATGCTTTGCCCCAATATTTCATGGCTGGTCTACCCCCATAAATCATAGCCATTTGGATGGTCTACCCCATAAATTGTGGCCATTTTCACAACAAATCCAGGAATTTCCCACTGGATCGGGCGTGCCCAGAGGTCATGATTCCCAGGAACATAGAAGATCCTTCTGAACCTGACGGAAAGTTGCGCCCCTTTCAGGGATAGGTACCAGGTGGCCCCCGGTGAAATGGTGATTTTCACGTGATTTTCATGGGATTTCACTGGATTTCATATGTTGGTTCAGTTTCACCTGAACCCAAGTCACTTCATCGCAAACCCAGCAGTAAGCCGAGCAAAACAAGCCAACTTAGCTAACGACCCGGTGCACCACTATGTACAGGCATAAATCATACATGAATCGATGGTGAATAAATGGGTCACAAGCGAACCTGCGACCTGGATATACTGGGATCCCATCCGGAGCCGGTTTTGACACGGTTTCTTTGCGCCCCAGTGAAATGTTTGTTGGTTTATGAAGACATCTAGAACATTCTAGAACTGTGGTTGTAATGGCCATAGGCCCAACAACTAACTTTGCCAACAAACTGGGGCACCACCTAGTTTTTTCTTGATGAGCTTGTTGAGCTGCTTGATTGGTTGCTTCTCTCGCAAACAACAATGTAGAATAACCTTTGCCGACCTATCCCAAAGGCTGCTAGTTAGCATCTTGTTGCATATGTATATCATGATACTCCCATCATATCCCAGTAACCCCCGTCGAAACATCATTTGTGTTGCTTAAATCTGCTATTTCCGGGTACCACAACCACTTCACTAACACACTCTACCCGTGCACGCCTATCCACCCACTTTCAGGTTGCCACTCACTCCTCACCGGTCGCTCCACCAATTCACAATGATCTCCTCGATAAAGCCTCGCAATTCATTCTCCACGTTGTGGTCGTAGCGTTCCAAGAAACGCTCATACTCCAATATGCCACTGATCCACTCAGGGTAAGGGCACCCCAACTGTGTGGCCAGCTCTTTGGTGCCGAAGGGATGTCAGTCGCTGGAGCTCCGCGTGTCAGTCGCTGTCATCTGAAGGCCGAAGGCTTTCTAAATCCGTCAAAACCCCGAACAAAAAAGTTGTGTTTGTCGAATAACCAAAACTTTGTTGGTTACAGAAACCAAACTCCCATTAAATCTCATTATATCACCATATATCACCATTCCCTGCATTTGTTCATTTTGTGGTGTCACGTCAGCAGGTTTGAAAGATTGACAATAAAAAACAGCAACCTGCATCTTTCATGGAACTAGTTCCATCAAGTCACTGGCACTTGCAACTGGGTTATAGTCCTGGGTTATCGTCCATTAAATACACTCACTTATCAAAGGTTATGAGGAAACATATGGCCCTCAACAATTTAAATAAATTAATGAAAATGGGATAAAAAAAACAGTTTTAAATGGAATAAAAGAACAAATTATTATGACTAAAGTCACATATCATTACAAACCAGTTATAACTTTTAAGAGTTAAGGGCCATAACTGTAACCCGTTGTAAAGTATGGATTATTACCTGCCAGAATCTTCCAAGTGGGGTCACCACTTGCTTCTAGACCTCAATCTGTCAGCTGCGAGGTGTATTTGTATATGAATAGCTTTATCTATTCATCAAAAACAACATACATCTGAAACAAAAATAATGAACTATACTTGAGTATATACATACTTTATGAATTTATCGATATATGATCAATTTAATATGTATATATATAAATGGATACATTTCACCATGAATGGAAGGCATACAGTTTCCCTCGGATTTTCCCCATTCATGTCCGCAGTGCTCCCATTCAGGCCAATTCAACCAGGTGTTGTTACCCACGTTTATCAATGATGTTGGTTCGAATCCTAGTCTTATGAGTTGGAAAAACATGGGTGTGATAGTGAGGTATACCTACAATGTGGCCCCCACCAGTTATAAGTTGGTTTATGAAACCCATTAACTATAGTTATAAGTACCATAAACCATAGTTATTGGAGTTATAAACCAACTTAATCCAACTTAGCTATCTTGGGGGCCCCACATTGTACTGGTATAGTCCAGCAGCAGCGGAGTACTGTTTCAATTGTCAGGTGGTTTTTCACCCCAAAATCTATGACAAGTCCCAATCCATTGGGAAAAAACAACAAATCATCAACCATCAATTTCATCCTCATATGTTTGATGGTTTAAAACCCTACAGATGATTAACCATTGCATAAACTACTAATCAATTACATCCAAACATCACATAAAACTGTCCATAAGTAAACTCACTTCATGGAACACTAATCAACTCGTCGTCAATTTCCTAATTTACCCTCGGGTGATTTAACATAGCTATTGAAAATTGCCATGTATAGTTGATTTATCCATTAAACATGATGATTTTCCATAGTTATGTTAGTGTGCCAGAGGGTATGTATATATATATATGGGTAAATTATAATATTTCACCAACCTGAATAGTTCGGCCATTTGGGCATGATTGCCCTAAAATAAACCATGACTCCAGTGAGGGAGACCAGTGAGGTCGTTATAATTTACATATATGTATATATATATATATATGAAACTATTACCTAACCTCAATAATTAACTACTGATCAATCCACTAGTACTGAAGATGTTTCACAAACTTACACATGCCCAACGAAGGTTTTGTGGCTTTAAAAACAACTTGAAACTTTAGCTTAAAACTTTAGTGCTATATTTATCATCCATTTTCATGGCTTTGCTTTTTTGGAACCACCAAAACAAATTAAAAAATCTTCCCTTCATCGATTCCCCAATCGGTTTGTGGGTTTCCCCATGGAGAAAAGAAGCCAAATCATCTTCAGCAAATCCAAGTAATATGGGGGTTTCCTAAAATGGTGGATCCCCAGTCGTCACCATAGGTACTAAAATGCTCGTTCATGACTTGGATGATTTTGGGGGTCTCATTTTGGGAAACCTCATGAAAGGGGGTGTCCATAAAAAAATCATAAACCACCCTGCAAATCACCATGAATCATTTCCAGTCATGGGTGGGATGGCCATTGTTTTACCCACATGAAACCCCATAAGTTGGGATATAAGCCCTTTTTTTGTGGTTATAACTGGGATATCATAAACCATACCCCATTACATTAGTTGCCAAACGTATATACTATTACATAGTACTGAAAACTTTATAGCAAGTGTGTGAACCTTTTAGTGCTATATTTAGTACTATGTAACAACTAAAAGTGCCATATACACTGTATTACCAATATAACTATATTACTATATTAGATGTAGTATACGAATTATACGAGGTCGTTTTACTATAGTACTAATATATAGAAATAATTCATATACTATATCCCATAGGATCCATGTATGCCATATATGGTAACATTTACCATCAATATACCCCAAATGTTAGCATATATACCATACATGGATCCTATGGGTTTATAGTAGTTATAAGTAACAAACTCGTTGCGTTCCCAACGACCGCAAGTTGCGCTCCCAGCGGCTTGCTCTTCAGCACGGTCAGCGCGAAGCGCAGCTGCGGCAAGCTGTCAGCCAGGTTGCCGGCCTCCACCGGTGGGGCAACCCGACGTTTGCCGCCACGTTGAGGAACCAAAGGAAAACCCTAGGAAAACCATGGGAAAACCATAGGAAAACCATAGGAAAAGCCAGTTGAAGCCAGAAACATGCTGATTTCATTGGATTGAATGGGATTGGTATTTAGCTAAGCTGGTGAACTGGTGAACATCCAAGATATAACAATAATGGGCTGAATCTAAAGCAACTTTCAGTGAATGGGGATCTAACAGCCAAAGAACTTCAGGATCTCAGCTCTGTCTAAAGATCTATAAAGTCAACAAACCCCATCCACTCATTTCTCATCTTCCCCATGAAAATGCTCATTCTTCCACATTATTCCCCCCAGTTTCAGGCAGCTTCCGGGCGATTCCCAGTGGCGAGCGGCCAACATCAGCACGTCGTCGCGGAAGAAGGAGGATGAGAGGCTCTTGCACCTCGGTGCGAAGGATTCCCGGATTTTTTGGCAGCAAAAGGATAGAAAAGAACAATCACAAAAAGATTGGTTTAAGAAAAAAATGGTTTAAGCCCCATATTAAATGGGAACATCTATGGTTTCCTGCAAATTCTCCCTTAAACCAATCCATTGACAATCACAAAAAGATTGTTCCTAATTGCATGCACTATCTATTGATGAAATGAATTGCTTCAATACGGCCATTTTAAAACATAATTTTGAACCAAAAAAAATATTTTTGCGGGACACTATCCCTTCGGTTCACTAACTGTTCTATCTTTTCGCCAGCCATGAAAGTGCACCATTTCAAGCTGCACGTATGAATTCCTCCGAATATATGGAAAGCGCAAATGGCAAATAAGCCATGAAATTCTACCAAGCCATACCAAGCCAATTTTTAAGCAATTTCAAGCCAACAAGACAGGGCTGAAACTTTGGCTGAAACCACCGAGATTCTTCGAAAAAAAATACGGGGTTGAACCACCGAGGGTAACAAAACTTATCCTATGGTACCTCTTCAAACAATTCGTAGATTACGATCATAATCCCAAGTCTGAAAATGAGCCGACCAATACGTTGTAGTTTTATTGCTGTGGGTGGCGGTTAACCAAAAAATCATATGAAACACCAACAAATGTCATAACCATGGACCCCCAAACAACCTAGTTACACCAATACTCCAATTCTACGTAGGAAATCTTCACTAATTCCTTCATCCCTTCCGCGAATATTACCCGCTTAGAACCTATTGGATCATGGATCATTCACTATAGTTATAAGTACCATAAACTATAGTTATTGGAGTTATGTTCACCAACTTAGCTATCGATTGGGGGCCCCAAAAAAGGGAGTATCTTCGATATTTTTGGACCGTGGGATGGTCAGCCAAAGCGCAGAAAGCGCACATCCGAGGACCCAAGCCATTCGGGCACGCCGTGTTGGTCAAAGAAGACATCACTCAATGCCCACACTCGCAGGCCCTGTGTCTGTCGATTCTTGAAATGAACCATGCAAACTTCACCAGCATCCAAGCAGAGACAGTGCAAGAAACCAACTTTTGAAAATACATGGCCAATCAGCCAGATACCCTGCAAAACATGAATTTCTTAGCTGGTGAACGTAGATAATCCCACTAATTAATACCAAAAGACTAAAGGATTAAACTACCCATCCAAGATTGACCTAGAATACAATGTGGGCCCCCAAGATAGCTAAGCTGGTTTATAACTCCAATAACTATGGTTTATGGTACCTATAACATCTTATAACTATAGTTAATGGGGTTTATAAACCAACTTATAACTGGGGGGCCCCACATTGTAGGTGACTAAAATTATGATTGTCCAGTTGCGACGTTTCCCCAGCCTCACGTGGCCGCTGGCGATCTTGCGCGAAGCGACTCCACCGTCTGGCCGCAGCCTCTCCAGTAGGCAGTGCTATGCATGGAACCGCTACAGTATCAGCCTGTAAACAATTTGGGACACGCAACCATGCATACATAGATAACTACATATCAAACTGGGTGAAGTAACCCTAGTTTACTTATACATAAGACCCGCAAATCGAGAGCATGTTATGCGGGTGAAGAAAATGAGCAAACTCACAACTGCCAGAGCCAGCGACATGAACACAGATGAAGACGAACAGATTTCATCAGTAGTCGTGGAGATATTTGGCAAGCCTTAAACATGGAGCCGTTGTAAATTTTATTCAGGGGCGTTCCACGTTAGCAAACATTTCAATCTCGGGCATGTCGTGTTGTGATTCATTCCCGGCCATTTCGAGACATCGAGTTCATTGGGCATGGTTGAATCACACATTAGGTGATGCATTCGCTGATCGAATATATAGCACCCCCCAAACAAAAAAAAACAAGAAAAATCGTATCCTACTGAACTGGTGATGCATCTATTTTTTTTGGGGGGGCTACTCTCTCCTCTAAACTGTGGAATGACATTTTCAACGGACACTCATCTGCTTCAAACTTGAAGCACCTGCGCCGGACCAAGGCATTGTGGTGTTCCCGGCTAGGGATTGCAACTTGCAACTGTAGCGTTTCGAACACCAAATCATAACACATAGCTTCACTTCTATCAGTTGCAAAGCTATACTTGATATTCCATGAGGACAGAACTATATTTGACGTTGTTGCTGGGATAAACCGTCCCAACCAGAAAATGAAACATTGGCCGAGTGAGTTCACTACCAGGTGGTGGTAAGTTGCTTCACCATGCAACTGGGGCGACACTTGGACCTTGTATATGTAATTATATATGGTTGGTGGTTGACCTACCCCTCTGAAAAATATTAGTCAGTTGGGGTTACTATTCCCAGTATATATGTATATATATTTATATATATGATGATGAAAAAATAAAAGTCATGTTCCAAACCACCAACCAGTTATTATATGTTTACATTCTATCAGCAGAATACCACAAAATCCTGCAGAAACCAGCTGTCTGCATTGAGGCATCTGGGCTCCCGGCGGAATACTCCCAGCGAATTATCTTCTGCAGACCTCGGCTGCACGGATGAGCTGACAAGAATCTCATCCTAATTGGGTTTAAGGATGAACAATGGTAATTTAATGGACTTGGACTTTAATTATGGAACATGGTGATGAAATGGACTTTAGTTATATGGGACATTGTGATTGCATGCTTAAACACAACTTCTATGGTCCCAGTTGTATGTGATTTCATCTCCTACTTTTTGCCATGGTTTCGTTTGGGGGTGTTTGATATAAATGCTGCTCGGGATTAATTACAGGAAAGACTAAAGGCACAACAAACATTGGGAAGGTCAAGAGTCAAGATATGAAGGTTCTTAGTCTTACATGTCGCATCATGAATTGCATCTCATCAGTTGCATATTCTGCGGCTAAGCATCTGAGCGGTGCCCAAAGCCTTCGGTCTTAGAAGGTAAGCTACGGGTTGGTTGAGACTTAAAAGGCACTGCCCCGCAGTGATGGTTGGTTTATATAAAAGTCAAAAACAACAATTAAAATATCATGTCACTTGATGCATCACTATATAATTATATACAAGATACACCATATAAGTTTTAGTTGACCTACTTATTTCAACCAACTTGGCCATTCCAAAGTGGGTTGCCGGACAGCTCTGCACTCCATCATTGGCCGCCTGGCCGAGTTGGGAAAGCTGGGACCGTCAAAAAAAACCATTGGCTTCTTTTACAATATATGGAGGTGTCCTATATATGATGGGATTAAATCATAGAAATACAGTGGAATGTCATAGTAATACAATGGAATATCATGGAATATCATGAAATTTGCTTTCAAATTCCATCGCAGCAGAGCTTCTGAGATCTGTGGGTTGTTTAGTCCTCACCACCCTAGGCGTGCCATTGGCATGAAGAACTCTTCAAATCAATCTATGCCCCTACAAGGTGGCGCACCACAATTTGTTGGTTTAAAAACCAAATTAACTTTATATATAATTGTATATATATATATTACATATTATATATATACACTACATATTATATATATACACTACATATTATATATATATATACACTACCTATTATATATATTTATTACAATTATATATATATATATTACATATTATGCATTTTTAAATATGCACCATAAATCCTAAGCCTATAGTTAACCTACTCATAACCAACTGAGCTCACTATGCGGCACCACCTTATACCGTTTTCCGCCTACTGTAAATCGTCCACAAACAGCTCCACAGTCAGCCATATCATGTCCAAGGTGGTGCCCACCCATTTATTTCTTTTTTGTTGGCTTATGTTAAACTAAACACAAGGTGGTGCCCCCTAGCTAAGTTTGCTTGTAACTCTAATTTCACTAGGACTTGTGGTGGATATATCTATAATTCTATAGTTAATGGGATAATAAATCAACTTATAACTGGGGGGGCACCACCTTGCATTCTCAACCATCGAAGTCTCTCCTTTTGCATTGCAAAACCACCTACAGATCCTCCCGAGCTCCTGCCGTCGGATCTTCCGCGCCTCATAGTGCTCATCCAAACGTCGCGCCTGCCAGAGGCGATTGTTGAAAAATGCCACTGGAGTGTGAACTTGCTGGATTTTACAAAGTGGGGCCCCCGTGGCCACGATAGCGTTCAGTTGGTGGACGTAACTCCAATTTCACTATGGTTTATGATATGCAAATTACTATAGTTAATAGATGTTAATAGGGTTTAATAAACCAATCTATAACTAGGGGGCCCCACATTGTAGGATGTAATTTCTTTTTGTGGCCAGGGAAGCTTACGGCAAAGAGGTTGGATCTCGCATGTTGGATGTCAACGTCAATCACAGGGTATGCCTTCTGTGGAAGATCTTGGAAGGCCAAGTCCAAACCAAACCAATCTTAGGCATCTATGGCAAGGTCGGCCAGGGAGGCAACTCATAAAATCTCGAAGGAAACGATGAATTCCCACATCCAAACTGGTACCGACCATGATCTCCCCATAGAGGTTGCTTATTGCTGGTTACATTCCCGGAAAGATGATATGGCCCAACTAACAGTTATACATGGGATTATAATGATGTATAACCTGAGTTATAGGAGTTATAATCCAATAAATCCATTTATAACGGTTAAGGGCCATAACTGTATGGGTTAAATGATGTTAAATGGCGATGCTCCGGACGCAATGATGCCTAGTTATCACAATGCAGCTGTCAAAACAAGACCCGGGTTCTTACCCCGGGGCCAGGGCCATGGCCAACGCCTTGGCAAAGTTCTGATATGCAGCTTTGAAGTCGTCCAGTTGCAGAGCTGCCTCGGTTTTGGGCTGGTCATTCAAGGTGGTGCCCTCGGTCGATACCCTCTGGTAAACATACAAAAAACTATTGAACATGGCCAATAGAAATAGTTGATATACCCACTAAACATTGTGATTTTCCATAGTTTGGTTAGTTTACCAGAGGGTAACTAAGTTTGTTTATAACTCTAATAACTAGGACTTATGGTAGATATATCAAACTAGTTAATGGGATTACAAGACAATTTATAAGTGGGGCGGCACCACCTTGTGTGTATGTAATTTTCAGTATATAACCATTCATTCAGGGGGTTATCAAGATGAAATAGTTTGAATTTTTTTGAGTTCCTAAATGGTGCTATAGAAATATCCATACATGCACGTACATGTACTTCTCCATTTTTATCGGGAAATCGGATCGAATACGGATAAAATTGGAAAAACAATGAACTGCATTGGGTCATTTCAACATTGAGGTCATAAAATACCAACTCTCTGTCCGGTTGCTTTAAGTTCATGTCCAAAAGGTCTATGAATGAAGAAACTCCGGCAACACTCGCAGGGTGAGAAGCATACTGCATATATTAAATAATTAACTAGTATAGTATTCCATACAAAAAACAGTGTTTATTATATGTTATTTCTTACCAGTAACTAAACGTTATAGACCCAACTATAACTAGCTATATCATTTTATATCCCCTATAAACCATGGTTATTCAAAGAACAACGTTATAAACCACGGTTATTATATGTTATATCCCCTGTTATATCCCCTAGACATACAACAATTTCCATCCACCCGTTGAAAAGCGCCGCGCCTGCCCGGCACGCACCAAGGGTTTGGACCAGAGTTGGTCCTTTTCAGAAGCGGCCAAGGCATCCGCCAGGGCCTGCATGCTGCAAGGTGTGTTAGTTTATAAACCTATGATTGATTGATAAACTAATGGTCACTTTAGGTTTAACCATATTATATTATAAACCTGTGTTAGTTTAGGTATATGAGTCCATTATAGACATATGGTCGCTTTATGATTAATAATGGATTAATATACCTATAATATGGTCAATTCGGGGTTTCCATAAATGGGGATACCCTAAAATGGATGGTTTATACTGGAAAATCCAGCTATAAATGGATGATTTGGGGGTACCCCCATTTTAGGAACCCCCCATATAATATCGACCCAAACGTTCACCAACTTGGGGATGCTGTTCGCAGTTCTGAAGTACGACTGTTTGACTTAAACAGCGTGGTTAGCGACCCGAGGGAAAACGCACCTTTTCTTCAGCGGCTCTGCAGACAAATCGTGCTATTTAAAGCATTTTTGTCGCTGGTGTCAAGATTTCTATTTGAAATTCGCATGGCAGGCGCGAGACGGCACACCCTTTTTTTATTTTGACTGTGTTTTCCATGTATTTTGACGGTCATCTGTAAACAAAAATCACACGTTTTCTTTCGCTAACTTGCCAAGCTGACTCCAGAGTTGGCACCCACAGTTGTGTCTGAACATGAAACTTTGACAGTGTCCAACAAGTGCTTGGCCACACGACGATTCTCTGGATTTCTTGTTCTAAGTTGTGGCGCCACAAATTTCTTCAGCAGCTTCCAAATCCCATCGAGTTTTTGAGTGCCTGTCACAAGCTTTTTGGACCGGACATGTCTTGTGAATTGCATACGAACATGGGTCGCAGCACTGAATTGAAAGCCTTGCTTCAAGGCTTGGCTCTTCCAAGCCTTGTTTCCATCAGCATGTACACGTTTTTTTTGATTTCACCAAGCGCTGGAAAAAGCCAGCGTGCTGCACATCTTTCAAACTTTCTGTGGGAGGTCGACAGCCAGGCGCCAAAAGCACCAACAGCAATTCTTTCAAAATCACGTTCCCTTCTGCACCACGTTCGAGGCACCCTGCGATGCGGAGGTGGCACTCACAAGAAGTATCTAGGGCGCTTTTTCCCTGGGTGCTTCTGTCTCCACTGAGCAATCTCTTCTTGGAAGGCTTGGGAAGCCTGGCCAATTCTGAAGGTTCTGCAATGTAATGTAATTTTAATATAATGTAATGTAATGTAATGTAATGCAATGTAATGTAATGTATGTACGTACGTACAAACGTATGCATGCATGCATGTATGTATGTATGTATGTATGTGTGCCTCAAACATGTTACCTAAGCCCCCTCTTTGCTGACATCATGATGTTTAAGATTGGCTTTCTGAATGTTTAGGATAGCTTGTCTATGCTTTTCCTATATTCCCAGACCATCTCACACAATTAACCCGCTAACATATGCACTCTTTGCCCATTCTGATGCATACAGTTCTTTAAAGATCGAGCACTAGGTAGCTAAGAAGAACCCTTATGAGTTACAATATCCAAGGGTGAGATGACTCCCAAGTAACCCCACAAGCTTGCATGCACCCCGAAAAAGTGGCTTTGGAAGATGATTTGCTCCATAAATCACATAGGTTCTACAGTGATGACCGTGATGGCCCTTAACAGTTATAAATGGGACTATACTGATATATATATATATATTATATATATTATAACCTGAGTTATAGGAGTTATTTCATCCAATAGGGCAAATTCCTATATGTTCAACTTGCATTTTCAGATTTCCAGATCTACACCACCATCAAGCAGTTTGGGGACATGTCCAACCTAGCCTCATTGGCCAGGTCCAGCTTCAAGAAACAGGCCGAACGGTTGGACAACACCACGGCCTGAACAGGCCACGGCCGAACGGTTGGTCTCATATGACTAGTTACTGATATACGTATACCTCTAAATGTGGCTATATTATGATGATAGTAATGGGTATCCATAGGATCCATGTATGCTATATATGGTAACATTTACCATCAATATACCCCCAATGTTAGCATATGTATACCATACATGGATCCTATGGGGTATATTATATTAATCTATTATTACTATTATAAACTGGTATATCATGATTATCATTATACTATACCGTCTATCTATATGAGTATGTCTGATAATGGGGGTATGCCTCTAAACCGGTATTCTTGTAGGGAAAATGATTATAATCCAATGGATCTACCATAAACATCCATTAACCCTACAGGTTGCTAAATACAGCTATAAGACTTCATTCTGCTTCATCTATGATAACTAGTGCAGGAAATGCATCTTTGATTAACCACGAATTAGCATTGATTACCCTTAACCATGCAATGTACCCTCTGGTCAACTAACATAGCTATGGAAAATCACCATTTTTAATGGGAAAATCAACAATGAATGGCCATTTTCAATAGCTTTTTCACAACCAGGCCGGGTATCCCTGGTTGTTTCGCCTCCTCTTTGGACTCCATCATGGAACGATGGTACAAGGCCCTGAGACACGGCCATGAGGTTCTCTCACGGGCAGAAAAAACCAGATTTAACAAACTCAAATTGGTAAAACTCTAAGAACCAACCAACATAATTTGTTGATGAATGTGATGCGGAAGATTCGTATTGAGCAAGCAAAGTTGAGCTGTGGATGGAAAATAGATGGAATAAGCACCTTCGATATGGATGTTTCATCCACACATATCACACCTTGGGAGGGGATTACTTGACTGGTACCCTCTGGTTATGTCAAAATAGCTATTGAAAATTGCAATTTATAGTGAGTTTTCCCATTAAAAATGGTGATTTTCCATAGTTATGTTAGTTTACCAGAGGGTAAGCCTCGGAGATGTGATTTTGATATAACCCACAAACACCCACGGAGGATCACGGAATGTTGATGTTGTGCTATATGTCCCATGAGAAAAATCATCTGGTTGGTAGATGCCCCCATGGCTTAGAGAATTCCAGCAGTAACAAAGCATCACCACCAAAAATACACCATATAAATTCCCTATAGATTCGCTACATGGTGGATTGTCTATTGGGAAAAGATTCACAAAGTCACCTTAACAAAACCCTGGCGCCCTACCGCAATGATACATATTTCTCTATAGAATAGTCATGGTAACCCATCGGCCCATCTACCCATCAACGTACACTCAGGCCGGCTGCACCTGGTGTAGCACAGCACTGCCACCTTGAGCGCAGTCATGAAGACATTGTGGACTCATCAAATTTGTTTGAAAATGGTGTTTAAAAGAAGCAAACACATCGTGTGCATATACGTTTGGAGGCAGTTATTGAGATAGATAGGTATACTGATAGATATGATAAGATCAAATCAGATGAGACAAAATAAGGGAAATAACAACTGAAAAAAACATCTTGAACAATTGGGATACAACAGGATACAATAATTTTAGAAACTACAAATGCACCGAATCTACACCAGCTGATCCTTGACATCCGTCGCCCAGGCGCTCCATAGTTGCTCTGCTTAAAGGCGCCATCTCCTTCCTACAAGGTGGTGCCCCCAAGATAGCTAAGTTGGTTTATAAGTCCAATAACTAGGCTTTAGGGGGGTTGTATCTATGGTTTATAAATCAACAAACATAACTGGGGGGGCACCTTGTAGTAGACCCATGGACTGGTTGCCACAGGCATTTTCGGGGCTATGAGTAGCTGCAAAACTTACATCATCAAAAAAACATCACCTTTAACTAAGAGTTTCTCAGTTACTATTACTCTATAAGCTAGTTCATTTTGTGATCTGCTGGTTGGTGGTTTCAACCCCTCCTTGAAAAATATTAGTCAGTTGGGATTATTATTCCCAATATACGGAAAATAAAAAATGTTCCAAACCACCAACCAGATCTAGTTCATTTTGTGAACTATCTGTTATCTTATCGAGCATTAACGACCCATTTGTTCGAGGGTCTTTGAAGCTAATCCTTTCGAGATGTAGCAAACAAAAGATTGTGACCACATCACAGCTTGAAAACATTGAACGGAGACGGGACAAAACTGGGCACCTTTTTTGTTTACACACTACCATGTATGTATATATATAAGCAGATATAAATATGCATATAAATAAATATGTATATATATATATACATAAAATATACATATGCAAACCTTGCCAACAAGTTGCGGTTGAAAGGCACAACAGAATGGCAACACCAACTCACTACCCGTAATCAATTCAGGACTTGACCACAAGATGGTCACTTCAGAGTTCATAAAACTATGTTTTAAACAGGGAGTGTTTGACCCTTATTTTGATTAAGTCTCATGCATGCTTACAGCATTATATAAGCCTATATCTAAATATATCATAGGGCCTATAGGGTTAACCCCCCATTGTTCCAACAGGATCATAATGGGCTGCGGCTCCTCCTTGAATTTGGCAATGCGCCCAACGGCGTGGTCCGGCACGTCGACTTCATCCATCTTGTCGTTGTACAAGGCCGCCTGAAGTGAAAATTTGGTGATTGAATGGTTCTCTATCCAAGAAAAATGGTGATTTAGTGGTATGTACAAATAGAATCAAATCGAAAGACATAAAATGATGATCTAGCCGATCTAGCTAGTTCTTTATCCAAGAAACCAAGGGGTTTTTGAATCAGAAGGGGTTCTCTATAGTTAATGGGATCTAATTGTATAACCAACATGAAGCCACAAAGGATAGCCAAGTTGGTTTAGTTCATGGGTTAAAAATTCCACGACTTATAATAGGGGGCCTCACCTTGCATAGGTGAATGGGATACAGTCAACATTAACCAACATAAATGGAGAATTATTGTGGATATAATGGGAATACCATGGATGGGAACATGATTGGTGATTCAATCATGATGGGAATTATCCCGTTGATAGCAGGAATGCAGTCAGCTGCCTGGATCTTCCATGTGGAATTTCAACGGCCCATGCTGAGGCTTAGTAGGACTCATCCCATTGATAGTTAAAGTAGTAACAACGGTTTCTTGATGGAAACTAGTGATTAGCAACCTCTGATGGAAGTGATCAGTCCTTCAAATGCATATTTCATGGTGATGTTGTTTCTTCAGCCAAGAAAAATAGTGATTGGATCTATGACTAATCAGAAGCCGTTACTATTACCACTATTGTGTTCAATTCTTTCTATGGGTACTGAGCACTATTCCTATTGATGTGGGTTACTTGTCATTCTATGTGTACTAATACTTGGGGTTGCACTTATGAATTTCAAGCGTAATCATACTTAATCATTATTGTTTTGTTGTGTTTTGTTAACAACTCCATATCAACACCACGGCAGTATTTCAAGGGTCATGAATCACAGTTGATCCTCGTTAAAATTCGTCCGAAGGGGGTTTCTCAAGCCATCAGCTGAAGTGGTTGGTGCCCCCCCTTTGGCACCACATTTGGCGATCCGTAAAGATCCAAATAGATCCTTCAGCAAGTCAGTCAGGGGCCTCCTTCACTTCAAGGTATCGAAGGCCAATTAGTCACCCATTTCATCCTCCAAAATGATGCAACAAGCTGATCTTGGCAACCGAACTATACGATCTATACGCAGAATTGTACCTGAGCATGGATGAAAACCTACTATAAACACCTATAAACCATATTAAACCGTATTTAGGGTAATGAACATCCATTTCACCAGCTATTTTAAGATGATCACCAGGGCTACAGATGCAAAAAAGGCTAGGCTGACGTTTCAGCACAGGCTGACGTCAACCTTCCAGGCTTCCAAGTGGGCGATCTTAAGCCATCAAACAGCTTGAGCATCCATGTGACATACCCATGGCGGACCCATGGTGCTGCTATATATGGTGTGCCATGGATCCCATCAATATACCCCCTTTTTGTTAGTATATATACCAGGACCATAGATCCATGTGACATATTAAGAGGCTTCGGTCCAAAACTGGGAACACAGAACATACCACTAACCAGACTAACCACCCACTTACCCAAAATTGGAACACAACTGGGTTTGTCTGAAAATAAGGTACCCTACATACACAGCCGAAAATCATATGTGCCCATGTAACATTGCCATAGCTAGGGAGGCCATAACCCATTTCAGACTAACCCAGAAATCTACTAGTGTTGACTACATGACCCCATTATGTTCCCATGATGTCCCCGTTAAATATCCCATTAAATCACATGTTCCCCGGGTATCTCTTGGTCAAATCCAGATTTGTTTGTTGATGATTCAAAGAATGAAACTAGTTATTTCAGTCATCTTAGCCTCTTCGCTAATTAAATCTCAGCAAAATCACCATTAAATCCTTTTAAACTACATTAAATCCCATCAAATCACCATCAAATCCCACTAGATCCTTTAAATCTGATGAAAATCATAATCGTTGCCGCTTCTTGGCTGCAAAAAAACGCGCCACGGATGGCTTTACGTTCACCAGCACTCTGCCTCGCACTCGGTGGTGAGAGCCAAGAACTGACCGGCCTGGCCAGGAGGGCTGGAGTTGGCTGACCGGTTCTTCGGGGTAATTATTGAAAAATTCCATTGCCAACGGCTAAATCATCCATAAATATATAAATGGGCCGTGTTCCATATTAAACCATATCATATAATTATTCAGCAAACATGTTGGATGAAACGAGCAGAAAAGGGGGCTTTAGCAGCAAAATTCTGCTTTAAACTTGAACTCATCGGGGTGAAACATGTCCACAATGTGTATATCCATGGTTTAAATCTTCATAATTTGGGATATAGCATCTATATAATTTCGGCCAATTTGCGATTTGTCAAGTGAAACTTCACCCCGAAGTAGGTTGTGGGTAAATCCAGTTCAGCACTTATACAGTTCAAGAAGAACCTTGGAGTGGGTTTGCCCACAGTGAAACCAAAGTGCGGATATGAGCCCGATACGAAAGCTATTGGGATGGACACGGCTTACAGTTATGGCCCTTAACAGTTATAAATGGGTTTATAACTCCTATGACTGAGGTTATATTTCATTATAGTCCATTTATAGCTGTTAAGGGCCATCACTGTAGTTTTTCGCTCAAAACCTCCAGTTTCAGGGGCTTCGGCTCAAGAGGTGTTGAAATTTGTTCAAATTTCAGCGTACTTAGATGGGCCATGGGATTAGCTTAATGGTTAGTAACTGGGGATATATAGTAGCCCCCTAAATCCCAATTATAATCCATTTACTAACTAGTTAACTAACTCCATGGCCCATCTAAGTATGACCTCGTGCAACAGTCCATGATGCGAAGCTGGAGACATCCACGCACCCATGCTTCGCTAGGACATGTTCGATTGTTTCGTAACGATTGGCCATGGTTTTGTGGCGACGTCTTTTAAAGTCCCTCTGAAGTGTTCAAATTAGTATGGTTGAACCCCCAAAATACCTTCCAAATTGATGGTTCGGTCCCATCAAAACTCCGTTAAACTGGAGATAACTGGAGGATCTTGAATGGTTTCCCATTTAAATTTGCATTAAGCATCATTAAACTGTGGTGTCTTTAATGCTTCAGCTTTCCACCATGAATCTTCGCACCGTCTTCCCTGCGCAGCTGAATCCACGCTTCAAGGAACTCAAAGCCTGACACGGGGGATGCATCAAAACTGTGTGGATCTTCATCGGATTTCACCAACGAAAAATAGTGATTTCATGGGGATTCAGCTGGGAAAAATATGGTGCATATGGTGATTTCATGGGATATAACCAAACAGAACTGTATAGAATTGTCATTTCATGGGATTTGATAGAACAGATTGTTTGAAAGAACTAATACAGGCATCTAACTAAAGTTTACCGCAATTATAATTATAATTGCAAATCAGCAAACATATCTGGGGGTGCACCACCTTGTAATAATGAACATGTTCGTATGTTGGGGGTTCCCCCCATCTTTTTAGATGTGCGTATATTAGTATATTTTTAAATTTGTTCAAAAGTATGGTAAGATATATGGTGTGGCCAACAAACAGGGTTGCACATATCATTGTTTGTTTAGCTATCATAGCAAAATGTCCCTGTATACACCCCATATGCTTGACACTTCAAACTCTAACAATGATTGGCCCTTCGGGGCACGCGTCACATGGGTAGAGGCACCCATCCCTATAGTCCTGTGTGGGTTGGCAAAAATAGAAACAAATCTGCTAGCTGGAGCTGTTTAGCTAACACAACTATATATAACTGGTTGGTGGTTTCAACCCCTCTGAAAAATATCAGTCAGTTGGGATTATTATTCCCAGTATATGGGAAAAAAAAACTGTTCCAAACCACCAACCAGATAAAATCAATTACATCCAGTTGTATGCAATCGGGACCCATATGAAACCTCCGATCTGATCGCCTCCAAGACCTTGGTTTGCCATCCAACCCCTCCTTTCTCGGCTGGCAACATAGCACTGGGCTCATCCCCTCATTTTCCGAAGCAAATGCTTGACATGGAGCCCCAAGTTCTAAGCTCCAAATCGCCAACAAAGAACCGTCGCTTAGATGGGCCATGGGATTAACTAAGTGGTTAGCAACCTCTATATGCCAATGAAATAATCCATTTACTAACTATAGTTAACTAACTCCATGGCCCATCTAAGTACACAGTGTGGTGCCCTAGGGGTTTCCATAATTGCTGGTACCCCTTTATCGCTGGATGGTGTATTTCATGGAAAAAAAAACAACAAAAAGAATGAGAACTGGGGGTACCCCCATTCATTATTTCAGGAAACCTCCATGTGCATATATATATACATACATATGGAGGTTTCCTGAAATAAGGGTACTCCCAAATCATCCATTTATAGATGGATGTTCCATGATTTTCCATAATAAACCATACATTTGGGGGTACCGCCATGTATGGAAGACCCCATATATACTATTATACACTTATTTCATGTGATTTCAACTCACTTAGCCAACTGAAGCTGGGGCACCAACCTCCAACATACATGAATATGAATATATACTATCCTCATACTATTCATAAGTATATACTATAATAATCTATAATCTATCTATACACTGCTTGGTGGTTTCAACCATCTTGAAACATATTAGTCAGTTGGGAAGGATTATCCCATAGATTATGGAAAAATAAAAGCCATGTTCCAAACCACCATCCATATATATATATGTGTATATATATGTATATATATATGTATATATATATATGTATATATATATGTATATATTGCCTGGTCCCAGGTCTTGGAACCGTGCAAACCTGAATTAGGTTGGTAAAACTTGTCAATTCCGTGACGAAATTTCGTCGCGGAATTGACAAGTTTCAGTAGGGTCATCATCACCATCATCATCTTCATCATCACCATCATCATCATCATCATCAATCATCAATCATCAATCATCAATCATCATCATCATCATCATCATCATCATCATCATACACATATGTAAGTTCAAATATATATATATATATTGAAAATGATGAATATATATATATATATATAGAAATCTAAAGAATTCTGTACATAAATGAATAAATAAATATATATATATATATTGTCACAGTCCTCGTGAGCGTAGCATCAACTGCTTCTGCAAGTTCACATGAACGTTAACATCCCACCCCATCCCACCACCCCCACCCCACCCCGCGTGTGCGTAGCATCAACTGCTTCTGCAAGTTCACATGAACGTTAACTTCCCCCCCTGCAAGTTCACATGAACGTTAACATCCCACCCCACCCCGCGTGTGCGTAGCATCAACTGCTTCTGCAAGTTCACATGAACGTTAACATCCACCCACCCCCCACCCCATCGTATGTGGTTCCAGGACCTGGGACGAGCCTATATATACTATTTATGGAAACATAATGAAACATACACAGACAAGGCCTCGCCTCCCGCGTCTTTGCCAAGCGCAACTCCGCGGTGGCGCGCCGCAACCAGCCCTGGCGAGGCCACGGAAGCATCAAAAGTGGGGATGTCATGGAAGCTTAACTGGCCTTAAACATGGAAAATGATGATTTATTTAATTGAGTTTCAGCATGGAAAATGATGATTTAATGGGATTTAACTTGATTTAACCAACATTAACCAACAAAAATGATGATTTAATGGGATTTAACCAACAAACATGAGGATTTAATGGTGATTTAATGGGACTTAACCTTTGCTGATAATTTAATGAGACTTCATCAGCCCATCATGGTGATGTAATGGGATTTAGCCAAGGAAAATTGGTGATGTGATGAGATTTCGCTACAAGAAACATTGTGATTTAATGGTGATTTAGCCCATAATCATTGGAATTTAACAATCAGACACGGCGATTTAATGTGACTTAACCAACCAATCATGTAGAGTTCATGGGATCTGACAATCAAATTTTGTACAGTAATTGGTTGGGATTTAACCATTTAACTGACGGGACTTCAACATCAAGTAACGGGATTGAACATGTTGAACCAGCCAAAATGGTGGTTGTAAAAAAAATGCTGCTTTGATCAACTAAAAACAGGGGACTTATACGTCAAACATTGCGGGGTTTATCCATCAAACATTGGGGTTGCATGGTTCTTTCCACTCTTCAATGGATTGGTTTGAGGGAAAAGCTAATTGTAAATAGGAAAGCCTATAGCTGTTTAATCAAGAGCTTCCGAGACAAGCTTAACCCCACTTGCCGTTGCCAAAATCTACGATTCCATGTTTCTTCATGATCTAGCTGTGTTTGCAGGGTTCAATCATATCCAATGTTTTTCTTGTTTGCATCCACGCATGCATTTTTTTGCTACACCCAAATTACTTTTTTGATTCAACTCGCAGATCGTGGCGTGGGCCGCTGGAATATGCAGTGCTAACGGTATGCAAATCAAGATATTTACAATGTGGGCCCCCAAGATAGCGTTCAGTTGGTGCACATAACTCCAATGTCACTATGGTTTATGGTACGTAAATAACTATATAGTATTCATGGGGTGAATCTAAACCAACGTTCACTTATAACTGGGGGGGGCCCATCATCCAATCCTGGGGGGCCCGTCATCAAGAAGTTGGGAATTCTAAAGCGATTGGGGGTTCCTCGAGGCGAGGAGATCACCTTGGGTGTGGCTGCTCTTCTGCAAGGATTCTACGTTTGGGGCTGAGGTTGAAAGCAGAGTAAAGAAGCTTCAATTCGCTTCAATGTTCGAATTGCACTGCCTCTTCAGCAATTGTATACAGAACGAGCCGGTCCGGTACTGGTGGTAAGTTCAATGTTGAAAGCAAATTCTCCGTCATCAAACCTGCACGGATGTCAGCTCTAAGGTGATGCCCCAAGAATTCCGGTTGGCACAATATCTCACGACCCTCAAATAAACTTGACAGAGAAGTTGCTTCTTTGGTGGGATGGCTTCACATGCAGTAGTCCTCATCTGGTTGGTGGTATACCTACCCCTCTGAAGAATATGAAAGTCAATGGGAAGGGTGACATCCCATATATTATGGACAAATAAAAGCCATGTTCCAAACCACCAACCAGTGATTATTAACCATTATGAACCATGATTAACCATGATTAACCATCATTTGTTCTTTTCAGTGCTGACCAACACACTAAACCCAAGCCATGACCTGCTGGGAAACCCATGGGAAACCCACCTTGGGCCACTCGGCTTCCAAGACGGTCGCATCCTGGATGTCAGAACTGCAGTGTTTTTTCGCGTTCGGGTGTCTCCCAAATCAGGGATAACAACACCCAATGTGTAGCATTTCTGGTTGGTGGTATACCTACAAGGTGGTGCCCCCCAAGTTGCCAAGTGATGTGAACGTTGGTTGATAATCCCATGGCAACTAGTTCGATATATCTACCATAAGTCCTAGTGAAATTAGAGTTGTAAACCAACTTAGCTATCTTGGGGGCACCACCTTGTACCCCCCTGAAAAATATGAAACTCAGATTGGATCATCATCCAGTTCCTATTGGGGAAAATAAAATTCATGTTCCAAACCACCAACCAGATTTTAACTTTGGAACATGGTGATAAAGCATCAATTTTTCGGTTTACCCTACTCTCAATCAAACAAACCAAATTCAGGCATGGCCGAAAGAATTCACACGAGGTACCGACCACCTCAAGCGGAAATTATGGTGATTCTACGAAATAATTCTTGGGTGGTTAGCTATCGAAAAGGCCATTGGAAGATGAGGGTATGTATGAAAGAATTCTTCCTACCCATTGAGATGCAAGAGCACCTTCTTTTCTGCATTGTTCTTGAGCCTTGACCAGTTTCTGTAGGTTTTGTGGGTTGTGGCATATTCAATTTTGTTGTTGCTTGAACCACCAAGCCCCAATAAATCCTGGTAGATCAACAATAACAGCCAGGGAAGATCGTCCCAAACAGTGAAAATGAAACTATCATGATACCACCTGCACCAGCAAGAGCCCAAAGGCACATCTAATTCATCCAGGGTTGACATTCAACAAAAAGAATCATATAGGCTCCATCGCATATTGTTGCATATCTCTTTGCATCCCCAAAGGGGTGACTTCAGCATCTCGCCTGTTTTCGTTGCTAAAATCCAGACCCATCACCTGACGGGGTGGAGTTCCATTCCCTGCCAAGCCGCGACAGCATCTTCCAGACTCTTGTTCCACTCGAAGAGTCGATTGTAGCACCTAGTTTTGCTGGGCAAATATGGCATTCGACTCTTTTTGACCACATAAAAAATGGTGGTTTTTACAATTTTACATGTTACCCCATGACTGGTGGTTGGGCAAATATAGAAGGAATGGGATTCCAAGTGTTTTTGGGACAAAGAAAAAAGGTGTTCCGTCCTGCTACCCTGTTGCATCATCCAACTACAGGGATCGACCCTGTCGTCCCCTTCGTCCCCTTCGAAGCCTACTTGTTGGTTGGTGTGGATTCCCATATTGGATTAAAAGCCTTCTGAGTAAACCAGTACAACCTGATCTAACCATCAACCAGCAGAGGGTGCTTCTGGTGATTTAGTGGGTTATCATGTGGATATATAATTCAACTACAGTAGATTTTTGGGATCTTTTGGGTGTGTCGGAGCATGGGGATATATCTCCAAATCTTGCACGACTTATTGGGCAAGAAATCCTGATAAATAATTGCATTTTATGGTGTATCCTCTTTGTTCAACCACACCCATGTAATAAGGCTCAATCATCTCATCCCCTAACATGAAAAAAATCCCTCCCTGTGAGAGCAAAACTCCGCAACTTACCAAACCTACTTTGACCCAGTTTGAAGGCATCCGCCACATGACATTGAACTACGTGATCTAAATGGGTTTGTCTGGAAATCGGGTAATTACCGTTTTTTTTTCTGCCTCTCAATTATTATTTGTGCGGCTACAACCTCCAGTAGAACAAACTCCAAATCACTGACATGGACTTCAGGCGGTGCACCCCATTGCAGCCATTGTTTCATCAACGGCCATCCCACCAAACATTGGCAACCCACTACCCTCTGGTAAACTAACAGAACGATGGAAAATCACAATTTTTAATGGGAAAATCCACTATAAATGGGCCATGTTCAATAGCTATGTTAAATTACCAGAGGGTAAGTCTCTTGCATTGTACTGGAATTGCATATTTGTTCATTTGTTTTTCCAGTTTTACATCGCATTCCCATTGAAAAAACTACTCCGTTGTATTCCCATTACAAAAAACGTGTCTTTAGTTTTTTTTTCAAGCCCTCCGGTAATGAAGCATGGCGTCCGGTTTCCCAGCTATAAACCTCCATCTTTTAATGTGGCTCCCAACCAGACGTGTTTGATAAGTAGATCAAGTCCCATGACATCCCCATTATGGTTGAGAAAATTAACATTAATTCCGCTAGCTAAACCTTATGAAACCCTATGGAATCACCATTGCTCATGGTTTCATCAGCATAAACTCACAATTTTCCAAACTTTAGATCGTCATTTATTGCCCCAAACTGCATAACATCCTCAAAAAAAACACCACATAATTCCAATAAAACCCCATGAAGTCACCATTTTTCCTGGTGATATCCCATTCAAATACCATAAAACCAGCATTTTTCCTGGTGATATCCCATTCAAATACCACTAAAACCACCATTGTTCACGGTGAAATCCATCCAAGACACAGGGCCCGGTTGGACAGCAGCGTGGCGCGCTGTAGCGCTTCCAACTCCTCCGACTCCAGGGCCTCGTGAAATGGCCCGAGTCATACCAGTTATAACTGGTTATTTATAACCACATTATAGTTATTATAGTAATATAGTTATATGGTCATTATATAGTCATACCATAGAATTACATAGTTATAACCAGTTATAATCACTATGGTCATTATATAGTTATAACCACATTATAACCAGTGATATTAAGAAAACCCCATTTATAGAATGTTTCTCATCCCACTGAAATAACATAGAAATAACATAGAAATAATCCCAATATTTACTAAGAAAACAACATTTATAGAATGTGCAATCCCATAGAAATAGCCAGTTATAACTAATAAATGACCATAACTGTATCTGTATATCATCGGAAATCCAATGTCTGATTGAATATCTATGATTTATCATCTATAATTTATAGTAGATTTTATCAAATTATAGTCTATTATCGTATCTATACTACCTAGATATAGTACAATGCAAACATAGCCGTAAAAAAAAATATATATATGTATATAATGTACATATAATCATACTATATACACTTTAAACAAAACATATGTTGAAAACATGTAGGTTTTAATTTGTACAAAAAGTCATTGATAATGTATCTAAATCTAAATCTATATCTATATCTAAAATACTGTGATCCAGCTGGAACTATAATGTCAAACCTAGATTAATAAACTCCTAGGCTGTTTACATGTAATGGATACAATTTTGGTAACAAATGGCATCACTATTTGCGGTGGTACTCCGTAATTAATAAACCTTGGTTTATTGATCCGGGTTTGACATTATAGTACCTATATATTTATATATATATTAGTATATGTATGTTCAGATATACTCTGTATAATTGCATCTAAAGCACATTTAAGGTATCACCAGGTAGTTTTATATTTTAGTATTAAAGTACCTCTCGAAAAAAAAAACACATTAGTTTCCAATGGCCGTTGGCCCCACATCAACGGCACTGTGAATTGGTTACCCATTCAGAGAGTGAGCCAGGTTTCTTTCAGTTCAGGAAATTGTTCATCTTTCCATCAGATTTGCCACCCTTCTTGCTCATCATCTTGCCCTTGCCCTTGGCATCCGTTTTGTTCCAATCTACAGTTGGCGTAGGGCTGGCTGAAGCCGTAGCTGGCTGGCTTCAGCATCATACGAAGCATGGCCACTTGCTTGTAGTACAATGATTTACCGTACACATCATGAATTAGTGTTTCATTGGGGGACACGACCTATAGAAGCAGATCTTCACTAGTGGGGTGGTACCCAGTATTTAATCGACCAGAGTTGATGAATCTGGGAATTACATTCAAACATCCATTTAGAAAAAAACAATCCCGTTCTTGTTCCGGAATACTCGATCAAAACATCACCCACATCACGCACATCACAGGGTGATATCATCTCCACCATCTCCACCACTGTGATGTTTCTTCACCCATCCATCTGGGCAAATTATGATTATTCACTGGCATGGAAAAATTGGCTATATTAAATAGGCTATATACATGTGATAATAATTCCCCTTTATTACTAACCATGGTTTCTGTGAGATCACAGTGAGGTCACTATAATTTACCCAGATCCATATTGATATATACCTTCTATGGATGGTTTCAACGGTGGCACCCAGCCACTCCACCTTGCTGTAAAGGGAGAGCGCCGTGTTCCAGTCCTGGCCACTCCAGTTTTGTGTTTCGAGGTAGTGAGGGGTACCGAATTGAAACATCGCGGTTATATCCCTGGTTGTGTTACAGTTATGGTCCTCAACAGGGCCTTAAATGGGATGACATAACCTGTAACTAAGGTTAAATTATATCATGAAACAAACCAGTTGCAACTGCTACGGGCCAAAACTGTAGTGGGATAAGTAGGGCTAATCCACTTACAACTGGGGTGAAGCCAACCTACTGACTAAGTGGGATGAACTAGACCCTCCTTTGACCCACAAAAAATATGTATATGAGCTTGCAATTTGAGCACTTTTACAAGTTGATATTGGTCCTTTGACTGTCTTGGCATACTGCATGTGTGGCATATTTACCATTATAGAGCTACATTTGAGCCATACATACATATATACATACATACATATATACTTACATCTATATATATATATTAATATACATATATTATATATATACATATATGTATATATACATAAATATATATATATATATGCATATATATCATATCATATATATATATATATATATGCATATATATATATACATCTTATATATATATTAACACATATATATATATATATACATAAACATTTGGGGTTAGATACGGCTTGATGGCAGAAACTCAAATTTTACGTATTAAACTAGCTAACCAATCCGTGTGCCCAAAAGTCTTGCATGGGATCAACATACCAAACCTCGTTGAAAACAACAATCATTGGAAAGCAGGCATGGAATCCATCTGAAGAAATGGGCCTAAAAAATCCCATCTAACAAGTGCATGGAAACAAGTAACATGTGGGGTGCAGCAAGTCATCAATGACCAACACATTTAAATATATATATATATATCTATATATATATGCATGTATGTATGCATGCATGTATGGATGTAAATATACATATCTATATCTATTATTATCTATGTATGTGCAAATGTTGTGTTAAAAAACCAGCATTCCATCAATTGTCAATTATACAATTTCATTCGGAGATTCACAATTTGTTTTTTTTGGTTGATGCATGACAATTATTCATGAACACAACAACACCACAACAACAACAACAACAACATGTATACCTGGATAAGGGATTTCGCGGCAAAACATACTCGACATATTCTATTGCAAACAGTTTGCATGATTCCTAAAAGGCATTAACGAATGGCAGAATGGTGGTTGGCTTGCCCCCCAAAGGCCCAACAAGAACAGGAAACACATCTGGTATCTCCAAACAACCACTTTTCAACACAAATATCACACATTTATGGCGGCACAACTATTTCGAATTGGTTGTTTTTGCGGGTTTATTATGGTTTATTTACGTAATCATAGGCAAGTGCTAACTGACATTGTCTCACAAAGAGGTGTCTGCGAAAAAACAAATCAAACGAAGAGGTCATGGAAATGAACAAACACCTGGAAATTTTGAAGTACCATGATTCCTTTGGGTCCCAGATTGTAGGGTCGATCACCGTTGCCCCACCGTGAAACCAGGAAAGGTCCCTTGAACTAACCTTGTCTTTGAAGGCTTTGTCAGCGGCTTGCTTTGTCTCCTGCAACTGCATTTGGGACAAAGGTCACAGGTACGTTCTCGGACACACCACAGGCCCAACAGGACCAATTCAAAACAACAGTTTGTTGCGCACTGATTGCGACAGGAAAACTCAAATCACACCATGCACAATGACAAATTGCATTGACACAATAGAGAAAAAACACTTTCACCTAAATGAAACGCATGCCTCAAACAACGTGTTCGTTTCAACCTATCCCAAAATTTCAAGTCAAATCATGAGTTCAGGTGGAATGGCAAACAATTGGATGCTGACTGTCAAATGCCGGGGCAATTGGAGACTTTTATTTAAAAAAAGCAGCTACACGGGTCTAAACTTCAAACACAACCATCCATTACTGCAGCTCCTCCCAAGGCCTTTTCTCAACCTCCGGAGTAGGAACCGTTTGTTCTTCGGGGGCCTGACATTCAGGAATCCAAGGAAATGAGACGCAAACAAAACTATATGGCATAAATTAAAGTTATATATAAATATATAACTATATTAAAAGTATATATATATGTTGATATTTATATGGACCAATTGGGAAATATATGCTGATCATATTTGACCAACATCATTTTTCAGGTTATACGCATAACCGGTAGGCACTTGTTCGCACCAACGTGGCGTTCGCACTGGCTGCTGCTTCCCAAAACAGACTTGCCTGACAGCTCACCATGCCATCTAAACCGGCAGTCTTGGTTCATAAGCATTGACACAAAGGATGCCTTCAAGTTGGGGGGAGTACACCTGCATGAACATTCCTCTTAACATTTGATCAATTATCTTGCCCACGTTCTCAATTGTTGCAGCCAATGATGCAGGGAAAATATACTTACCAACTCTCACACATCCTGTGACGTTGAATCCAACATGGCCATAGCCAACACTCCACTGCTCCACCATCACCCACTAAACGGCCAACACAGGCAAAACAAAACACAATGTTCCAATCTAGAAATTCGATAAATAGGGGCATACACCATTCTCGGACACATGACACATTTCACCAAACGTCCTACATTGCCCTGCCTCCAAAGATTCTTCGAAGCCCTTTGGCAATGGAGCATTGGAAAGGAAACCGTCCACCTTCCTTTGCCGTTCCACGGCGGCCTCAACGCCTGAAGGTTGCGGTAAAGCAGTGCAGCCCTATTTGCTCAAACGCGTTTTCGCCCAGAGGAAGGGGCAAAAGCCGTCTAGAAGTGGTTCATAACAGAGCTCTTCCCAGTCAAATCATAAGGTATTGCCACATAATTACTTTTAAGTTGGCCTTATCCACAATGTCGCTTTCAAGTAATGCATGGCTCATGCAAGTTGAAGAGGTCTGCTCGCAACTCCTCCCACTGGCGTTTGCCTGCGAGACGCGTCTTCCCAAGCAGAGCTTAGAGTGCCCGCATCACTGCGAAAGGGAATCCCAGTTATTTGCGTGCTTTTCGAAGCCAAGCTTGCCTGACTTGGCTGTGGTTTGTCTCAAACCTGAGGATGCCGTTTTTTTTCCCTTGGACAGGGGATAAGATGTTCCAGCCGACTGACTTTCATGGGGGCGTCTTTTTTGGGCAAACTCATTTTCTGGAGCCTGGCTCAATCTCAAAGCTAGAATTTAAATCGATAGCTCCCGTAATTTTTGACCATTCCTTTGTGGTTGGTGGTTTCAACCCCTCTGAAAAATATGCAATATAGTCACTTGGGATGAATATTCCACAGCCACCAACCAGCTATAAATCCTGTTTCAATCGCAGCAACCGTGACAGTGGGCCAGAGCCAGGACCAGGACCGAAACGAATTTGGGTGCGAAAAAGTTCTTTCCATACAACATGACGGGGTATGGCTACAAGGTGGTGCCTCACGTTGGTGTATGGACCGCGTTAAGTATAGACAGCTCATGAAATATATATATATGTAATATATATATATATTTGTAATATATATATATATATACAACTGGATATACTTAATTATAAATGTATAATATATACACACACCATAAACTCCAAGGTTAAGCCACTTATTTCAACCAGCGTTGCGAACGACTTCGTGCAGCACGTCGTAGAGGCTCATCACTGGGTTCTCGCAAGCCATAGCTATCCAAGGTAAACACGGCTTTGTTTAAAGATATGGAGGAGGTTTCCTAAAATGTGGATATCCATTTGGTTTATGATTAACAATCTTATTAAATGGGATGATTTGGGGGTAACCCGCATTTTGGCAGATATGACTGAATTGGTTGAAGGGAACATCTTCACCGGAAACCCCATCAAATACAGAGGGTTCCTGTAGATGTTCCCTTAAAACAATCCATTGAAGAGATGGTTCAACATCAAAACTCGTTGGTTCATCATACTCTTCCCTGGACAGTCGATATGCCGCCCAGAGGACATGCCGAAGCCATTAGCAAACCACCACGAACATTCAAACCAGAGCCTCTAAGACCTATGGCGACCACCCGGACAGATCAGTTTCTGTGGCTAGCTACAAAGCCAATTGAACAAATACAGTACCATCTGGTTATGACTAACAGTTTGCCATGGAAAATCCACCCATTTTTAAGTTCGGTAAAACATCTATTTCGATTAGGGCCATGGCTTAACCATGGCAAAGTGTTAGTCATAACCAGGTTGGGTAGCTAAGGCACCGATGTTTAGGGCTTGAGCAGTGGATTTTTACACAAAAAATCAACTGCACATGAAATGGGAGGTTTCCTGAGTCATGGTGGTACCCCCAAAATATATCAAATTATACTGGTTGGTGGTTTCAATCCCTCTGAAAAATATTAGTCAGTTGGGATGATTATTCCCAATATATGGAAAAATAAAAAATGTTCCAAACCACCAACCAGTATACCATTGTAGTATTGAAACCAATGGTTTTTCTGGGATGTTTTTGGGGATCCCCCATTTTTCCAGAACCCCCCAATGCCATATCCACAAGCCCCCAGCTATATCAGCATTTTCAGCCAACGTATGCAGTACCTATCAGAACATACCCATAAATCTGGTCACTTCTCCATGGTTTATATGGTTTTTGTTGTTCAATGCCAACTTTCAATCATGTTTGCCCTACATGGCCCAACGCTTAGATGTGAACAACCTATGGGAAACTCCCATTCGGAACATGATCTATAAATGGTGGGTAAACTCCTCATCGATCTCAGTTTGCAGGAGGGTATCTATCCTGGGCACTGGCTCAATGGGATGGCTCCCAAGTACAATGGCGATTTCACCAAAACAGTAAAAGACCAACGAGAATCCGCATATCAGGAAATGTAATATGATGTAATAATTCAAACGCACATTTCATAGATTAGGGTCCAAAGTGGTGATCCTGTTTCCTAGTAAAGCTGGTTTAAACTAGGAACAAACCAAGGCTTGTGACACAGTGTGATGGATATATCTATATTCTATCATGTATACAGTTAGAAGGTTGAACATTCACCATGTTTTTAACTAGGGGTAAAACCTTGTATATGCCATGTTCAACATCAAAGCCAAGGTTTCCGGTACATTTGTTTGCCATGTTTCATCATCAACATCGATCATGGTTCCAGGCTGGTACACACCAAGAAAAAACACCGGAAACTAGCGCTGTATCTCCAGCATTTACATGCGGAAAACATCTGGCAATGTTGGATTTCGACTCTCATCTGCTTGGTGGTTGAGCCACCCCTCTGAAAAATCATGGAGTTCGTCAGTTGGGATGATTATTCCCAATATGATGGGAAAAATAAAAAATGTTCCAAACCACCAAGCAGTCATCCTCGTAATCCTCGTACTTAAAGCAATATGATTTATGACAGTCCTGGCTTTTCAATCGGTTCATGTTTATTGGGTATTTCTCAAAACTATTGCACCCCACAACTGAAATGCGTGCGCGTGGCTGAATTGTTGCTCAGGGTCTCTGATCTTCGTCCCGAACGATCAACCAAAACACAATCTGTTCAAGTTCATGACAATTCATGGTGTTGTTGTTCTTCTCTAAGCTTTTCAGCACCTGCAATGATGTGTCTCCTGTCCCAGTCGACTTGATCGGAAGTCCGCAGGAACTGCTTTTGGACAAGCACCCACCACCATAAGAAGATCGGCGAATCAAATAGTGGCGAAGACCCAGCCATTTGATTGGGACACATGATGATTTTCCTCAGCATTTGTTTGGTATCAGATTTTCAGACAAAGCCATATAAAATATATAAACAAGTCAGTTTGGATGCTCACACCTGATTTATGGGACTGGAATATCCCAACAATATCTGAACCAAACCAAACAAGTGACTATGGTGACCCTATGGTTGGGGAATGAATGTTCCGTTTTGTTTTTTCCGTAGATAACTGGGGTGTCAAATTCATGTTAAACCCCCAACTTCAGCATATGGTATGTCAGCTTGGCTGGCAATAAGGCTGACACATTCGCAAAACACATTACTGTACAATAAACACTTGGCTGAACAAAGCAAACTCACACTTAACGATTCGGAATTCGGATCATGAAAAAAAACAACTATCAAAAACTATCAATACCATTCACCAACAGTGTACATGACATGACTATTAAACAGCTATTACCATCTGGTTATTTAACAGTTTGCCATGGAAAATCACCATTTTAATAGGTACAGTACAGTAAGCCATCTATTTCTATGGGCCATTTCCCATGGCTATGTTAAATAACCAGAGGGTAATCCATGGCATATCTCCTGTAACTCATTACATCTCAACAAAGCCAGGCGGAAGGCTTTGTTCCCAACAGATGTACCGAAAAATAGCTGGATGGTTTAGAATGGAACATCCTACACATTGATAAAAAAGGGGGGTATCCATGGGCCCCCCAGTTTGTGTCACCTGGGATTTATTTTGAGGGCGGCACCCTGTGGGGGAGTGAATTTTCATTAAAAATTATGATAAAACACTGTAAATACCGATGTTTTATGTATTTGGAGGGTCTAACACCCTAGTAAAAAGCATTTTTCCCGAATGCGTAGCAAGGGTTCCCGTTTCACTCTGGGGGTCTGGGGGTTGAGGGTGTGTTCGCTCGACGTTGCGTTCACGGTCGCAACCGTCCGCAACCGTCCGCAACCGTCCGCAACCGTCCGCAACCGTTCGTGTGAGGACCGTATGGCCGTGCCTATGGGAAGTTCTGCAGGAGGGATCATTTTTGGAGGTTTCAGACGTCTGGTTGCTTCGTTTCGCGTGGCAGGCGTGGCACTTCGTGACATTCAGCAACGTTCTGTAACGTGTCGAAAGTCGTTTTGTGTGGCAGGCGCAATACTTTTGCGACGTTTTCAGAAGATGTGTTGCATTTTTCGTGGCAGGCGCAGCACTTTGGACGTGTCCATCGTCATTTTTCCTGGCAGGCGCAGCACTTTAGACGTGTCGTGTTGCGTGTTTATTGCAAATCGCATTGGCAGGGCTGCGTCAAGTGGCGACAAGGTGCAAATTCCGTGGCAGGCGTGGCATTTGGTGCGATGTGCTGAAAATTGACGGAAGCCTCGCACGAAACATCGATTTTGAGGTTGCAAATTTTCAGGTTCTAAGGAAAACTCGTAGGAAAACGTCGATTTTGAAGCTACAAGTGTGAAAATTGGAGGAAGTCTCGCACGAAATGCTCGTTTTGGTGCTCCCACCTGTCTCGTCTCGGGTCTCTGGTTTTCCTGTGGCCTCGCCGTGTCAATGGGGGAAGCTGCAAAACTTGTCCTTTTGTCATGTTGCCATCTGTGAAAATTGGAGGAAGTCTCGTACGAAATGCTGGTTTTTCTGCATCCACGTGTCTTGGCTCGAGTCGCTGGTTTTCCTGTGGCGTCGCCGTGTCTATGGGGGAAGCTGGAAAGGCTCTCCTATCCGAATGTGTCCAAGCAGGTTGTCATGTCCTTTTGCGTGGCAGGTGTGGCATTTCGTGACATTCCAACCTGTTTGATAACGTGTCGAAAATATCAAAATTGGAGGACGTCTCGTACGAAATGCTTGTTTTTCTGCACCCACATGTCTCGTCTCGTGTGTCTGGTTTTCCTGCGGCGTCGCCGTGTCAATGGGGGAAGCTGCAAAACCTCTCCTTTCCGAAGGTTTCCAAGCAGGTTGTAATGTCGTTTTGCGTGGCAGGCGTGGCACTTTGTGACATTCGAACCTGTTTGCTAACGTGTCGAAAATGTTAAAATTGCAGGAAGCCTCGTACGAAATTTGTGTTTTTCTGCATACATGTGTCTTGTCTCGAGTCTCTGGTTTTCCTGTGGCGTCGCCGTGTCTATGGGGGAAGGTCCGCACTCCACACTCTACACTCCACACTCCACCATTTACACTTTAGACTCCACACTTTACACTTTACCCTCCAAACTTTACCCTTTGCACTTTACACTCCTCACTCCTCACCCGAGACTTTACACTCCACACTCCACACTTTACACTCCACACTTCTCACTCTACACTTTACACTCTACACTCCACACTTGACATTTTACACTCCAGACTTTACACTTTACACTCCTCACTCCACACTTTACACTCCACACTCCTCACTTTACACTCCACACTCCTCACTTTACACTTCACACTCCACACTCCACACTTTATACTCCACATTCCAGACTCCACAATTTACACTTTAGACTCCTGACTCCACACTCCACACTCTACACTATACACTCCACACTCCACACTTTACACTCCACACTCCACACTCTACACTTTACACTCTACACTTTACACTCTACACTTTACACTCTACACTCCACACTTTACACTTTACACACTCCACACTCCTCACTCCACACTTTCCACTCCACACTCCACACTCCTCACTTTACACTCCACACTCCGCACTCTACACTTTACACTCCGCACTCCACACTCCACACTTTACACTCCACACTCCACACTTTACACTCCGCACTCCTCACTTTACACTCCACACTCTACACTTTCCACCCCGCACTCCGCACTCTACACTTTACACTCCACACTCCACACTCCTCACTTTACACTCCACACTCCACACTCTACACTTTACACTCCGCACTCCACACTTTACACTCCGCACTCCTCACTTTACACTCCGCACTCCTCACTTTACACTCCACACTCTACACTTTACAATTTACACTCCACACTCAACACTTTACACTCTACACTTTACACTCTACACTCCACACCCCACACTCTACAATTTACAAACTCCACACTCCTCACTCCACACTTTACACTCCAAACTCCACACTCCTCACTTTACACTCCACACTCCACACTCTACACTTTCCACTGTCCACTCCACACTCCACACTCTACACTCCACACTTTACACTTTACAGTCCTCACTCCACACTCCACACTTTACACTCCGCACTCCTCACTTTACACTCCGCACTCCACACTCCACACTCTACACTTTCCACCCCACACTCCACACTCTACACTTTACACTCCACACTGCACACTTTACACTCCACACTCTGCACTTTACACTCCGCATGCTACACTCCACACTCCACACTGCAGACTGGTAACAGGGGAAATATGTACAGCAAAAATGCACCAAATCTCAGGAATTCATCTTCGCGCAAGGTCGCGCAAGCTCAGTTTGAAAAATTGTCCGCGCGCAAGCTCTCATTGTGGTCGCGCAAGGATGGCGCAAGCAAGGATTTCGCGCAAGGATGAATAATTTCCATTCAGTTTTAATTGAAGTTTTGAACACCGCTCAAATAAACTATTGCAGAAAAGTGTTCTGCGTGATTGCATATCCATGTGTTTTGACATCTGTACCATTAACATACGTGTGAGCATTCGGGTTCGTGGGCTGCATCTTGTTTCATCATGATCTTGACATGAGATATACAAATACATTTGTAGAGCAAAAATCACCCCCCCATGGGCCGTTCTGTTGATTTTTTGGGCACTCTGGAGGGCTGGCACAAGGTTGAAATATTTCTATGTATACTGGTTGGTGGTTGAGCCTACCTCTCTGAAAAATATGCTAGTGTGGTAATTTCAAGCATAAAACATCCCATTAACCAGCCATTAGCCAACCATCTCAAGTGTTTATATGTATTTATAATGCGTTTGTCAATGGGGAAGCCATTGGAATCCCCATTCGTCACCATGGGCAGCCTGCGAAGTCACGGTCGACTTTGGATGATGTTCCGGGGGGGTACCCCACTTGGGAAATCTCCAAATCACCAACTTAAATGATGATGAAGCCTGTGCCTGGTGAACCAACAAAAAAACATGGCACCCAAATGTTCCAAATCTAGTTAGCCAACCCGAGATCAACCGTCATGGACCCTAGTTTTGGTGAGGCTCTCAATTCCGCAGATACGTAGTTAGGTCGTTTCATTCTCGTCTCTGATATAAGAATATGTGGTTTGGGCCATATGGTGTTCCTGAATGTTCCTGGATTCCTGAATGTCTGGAAATACTGCATGGCAAAACTGCCCCACACTTTCCCATTTTTCACACTAAGAGATTCATTATCTCTCTCATCATTGGACTATCCAGGATATCAAAGATGAATATACCCATGACGGATCCATGGTGCTGCTATATATGGTGCCCCATGGATCCCATCCATATAATATACCCCAGTCATGTTAGCATAAAAAAACAGCACCATGGATCCTATGGGATAGATGATAGTTACCTCAACATTCCCACGTTGAACCAGTTTCTGTAGAAATCTGCGGGCTTGCCGAGATTTCCTGTATAACAACCTTCGAAAAAAAGTAGATTCATGGCTGTACAGTTATGGCCCAACTAACAGTTATTTTTATGGGATGAAATAACTCCTATAACTGAGGCTATATATCATTATAATCCCATAATATAACTGTTAGTTGGGCCATCACTGTACCCTCCGGTAACCACTGGAAATCCTGTGTAAATGGAGGTGTCCTTCACTGAGAAAGTCATCGATGTCTCAACCTGAGCCCCCCAGCGTTTCTGCCGCAGTTCACGGAGCCGCCTGATGGAACGTGCCATGGGATGCTGTGATATGGGGTATGGTTATCCATCACAAATTCGGGAATCCAAACGTAATGATTACTGTACTTAGATTAGATGGGCCATGGAGTTAGTTAACTAGTTATATAATAGCCATGGATTATTTCATTGGGATTTTTTGAAGGTAACAAATAATCCCCAATTACTAACCAGGAATCGTGTTTTTCCCATGGCCCATCTAACTCTGAATCTAAGTAGGTAATGGATTGGTACAAGGTGGTGCCCCCAAGATAGCTAAGTTGGCTTATAACTCTAATAACTAGGACTTATGGTAGATATATCTACGTATAGTTAATGGGATTATAAACCAACGTTCACATCACTTGGGGGGCACCACCTTGATATATCCCATGATATCCCACTAAACATGGTGCTATGACCGAGGCCGCAAATACTTCCAACTCTTGACCATGGCACCATGGCATTTTTTTGGGTCCCCCAGTTATAAGTGAACGTTGGTTGACAAAAACCCCATGAATACCATAGTTATTTACGTACCATAAACCATAGTGACATTGGAGTTATGTGCACCAACTGAAGGCTATCGACTGGGGGCCCCACATTGTATGACGCTGTGAAAACATCACGATTTTAAGGTGAAATTCGGCGAACGGAACCCTGAGACTCCAGCGAGCCGAGAACCAGAACCGGTTCGCCAAAACGACCACTGATACTGGTCCGGGGCCCACGGATCTTGAAGAGACAGTCGACATGAAAACCCGATCCACGTCTTGACCTGCAAATATACCAATTTTCTTGCAAACTAAGATAGATGTGGAGTTTACCCACCATTTGTAGATCATTTTCCGAACGAAACCCTTGTAGTTTCCCACATGTTTTTGTAGTTTCACCCTGCTTTCCCCAGGCCGCGTCCCAAGGAGCGCGGAAAAAACCATGATATACTGAAATTGGCTTACCCTACAGCTCCAAACACCGAGACTGAGACTGCATTTGGAATTCTTTAACTTGGGGTCTACATAAACATCTTCGCAGAGGGTATAACTGGAGCCACCCAAAAAACATCCCGATGATTTTCGGCGAATCCAAGGTCAGCATCTTCCCTAAATTCATGTTTCACCCTGTGAGGGAAACACATTTAGGTGCCTATCCCATTATCCCATTATCCCAAGTGATTCTGAAATATCTTCATAGATTGGCTGTTTTTTTTTAAACTCATAAATATCACAAATGGTAAATTTGCCCCCCACCCTTTGATCATCTCATGTACATCATGTGCTGCCCCCGTTATGTTTGTTGCTTTGAGTTTCACTTATTTTTCCCATAGATTCTATAGATGTATCTACCATTTTTCACCCAACAGTTACCCTACTTCGAAACCTTAACTCCTCTGTTCATAGGGCGGACGACCATGATAGGGCCATGGTGAGAACATGAGCATCTTTGTGGGATGATATAGCTAAACTCTCGGGTAATCAATCATGGCCATGGATTCAATGGACAATTCCTCATATCTACCTAGATGGGCCATGGAGTTAGTTAACTAGTTAGTAAATGGATTATAATTGGGATTTTTTGAGGGTTATAATATATATATATATATCCCCAGTTACTAACCAGGAATCGGCAAAATCCCATGGCCCATCTAAGTAGATGATTTTCCCAGCGAACGGCACCTCCATTTTTTTCAAACCGGGGATTTCTCAGCTGGCTATGTTTGATGAGACTGGAGGGTCATGTAATTTCTAATTACAACAAACATGAATATGTGTATATATATATATACAAAATATTAGTTGGGTAAAACACCAATGATATATGGGGTATAAAACATTTACTAACTGGGATGTATAGTATATATAATCAATGGGAATTTCGGGATCCTAAAATGGAGGTACGTAAACGTACCATATGTTTGGCCATATTTTGTTGGGATATTCCCTGAAACTTAGGCCTAAAAAATAGGCCAAAAATACATGGTAGGTTCCTCCAATAAATTGGTTCCAGTTCGTCATGGCAATTGATTGGGGCGCAAAGAAAATGTTGGACCTTCACCCAGAGCCAGGCACCTCTTATAGCCTTTCAGCTCTTTCACGATGGGCTCCATCAGAAAATGAAGTTGTTCACACTCCTACGCATGCCAAGACACTCAAAGAATTCATGAAACAAAAAGCTGATAAACATACCAAAGTTATGGGGTTAATACATCAATGAATGATAATTTGTATATATATATATATAACCTGTCAATGTAGCGGGTCTAGCTAAATATGAATATTATATATATATATATATCTATATAATTATATATATATGCCCCGCGTCTACTGGGTATCAAGTTGCAGGTATGTGTCCAAATTGGGTGCCCTGAAATCACCAAAATCTGCCTCGCATAGTCTCGCCCTCGATGAGGGCGGAGCTGTTCCATTTGGACTGTGAAATCCCCAGATGTTCTGGTTGGTGGTTGAGCCTACCCCTCTGAAATATGCGAAAGTCAGTTGGAATGATGAAATTCCCAATATATAGCACAATAAAACATGTTCCAAACCACCAACCAGATGTGTATTGCTTGTACTCAATATACACCATGACATCGCACATTATACACATTATACCCTGCACGTAGGAAATTTCACACGCTTGCCAGAACTTTTGGCGCAAAAACAACACTCCGTGTTGGTACTGGTACTACTTATCCGGATAGAATTTGTTCTAAGGAACAAACATGAACGGAACACCTCATACTTGGTGGCCCATTGGTGGCAAATAAAACATGGTTTGCTGTATCCCCCCTTAATTCAATGGGCTTGCCTCAAACTAGGGTATCAATTCTTATTGCATTGTTTATCATCATGTTTCCCGCAGTAGAATTATTATTTTCGGAATATCCTGTCCCCATTGTTCAACAAGCAAATTCGTCGCTGGTAAAAAAAAAAGGTATATTATTAGCATATTCAGATGGGCCATGGAGTTCCTTTACCAGTTGGTAAACAGCTTCTGTGATGTTCGAAGGCCCCAGTGATGTTCGGAGAACTCAACGATCACCAGCTAACTAACTAAGCGTGGCCCATGGAAATCCGTCTTTTTGAAGGAAAACAAACTCGTTTTGCTTGATTAAATGCTCCCATTTGCCATCAACATACCCTGACACACAACTAACCATGGCCCATCTAATCTATGTACTTTCTTCCAGTCCAATGTTGCAGAGTGTTGCTTGTATTTCCTTCTTTGCCTATTTGTTGGTAGATAAACTATACCCCCATCATGTCCCACTTTTTGGGCTTAATTTTGCTTCCAGAGCTGGGCTTTAATTCTTTCCAGCTATGCAATCCATCCATTTTTGTGTCTCCGATTCTGCCATCCACCACATAGCTAACCAACTCCATCATGGCCGATCTACATTCTCCAAAAAACATCAGATATAATTAGACAAAGTCCTGTTCATATTCAACATCTAATGGAGTATATATGAACACTACTCCAAAAAAGTAACTCAAAGTATCATCTGAATTTACATAACTCAATTATATAATCCGTATGGAGTCTATAATACCTTGATGGCTAACGTTGATCATTCACTACGTCCATGTATTCTAAGCAGCTGCGTCTCCTCATCTTCGATCTCGCACTTTTCCTCTGCGGACCTCGGGGGTGCCACAACTGTCCCATCCAATTCTCGCTAGTTGATAGATATTAAATACTAAGAAACCACATGGGATTTGAAGGAATATGATGAGTTTAAGCAACAGAAAATATTGAAAATGGTGATTCAATGGGATTCAAATGTGGATTTGGTGATTCAATGGGATTCAAATGTGGATTTTATAACAAAATAGTGATTTAATGGGATTTGCAAGTTAGCCCACAAGTATTGGGTATAAAACCAAGCATATCGGGGGTACAATGGGGATATGGGGAGGTAATGCATTTCAATTTTGACTGTAAGGATTGGTTGATTCATGATTCTTCTGTCTGTCGGGTAAGTTCAGGGATGGGTTTTTGTGTCGCAGCTTGCAACCTAAGAGTTAGAAAGTGTGCAGTAATCCAGAATAAAGTATGATTCAGCCAGAATGAATCAACCAGTGATCATAAAATCCTAAATCGTAGGGTTTAAAATCATATTAACCCAACAAGAACTGGCAAATCAACCAGTGATCCAACAGGAAGTGTTTTTTCAGAGACGACATGGGATGGTCCGTGGGGCCCTCGTTGACGAAATCGCGTTCAGTCAGGGGCCACATAACTCCAATGTCACTATGGTTTATGGTACGCAAATAACTATACTATTCCTGGGGTGAATCTAAACCAACAAAGATAACTGGGGGGGGCCCACATTGTAGGGACATCAACCAAAAGTACTAAGTACAATATCTCATAGAGAAATGAGGTGAAGTGATCCACTTGCTGATCAGGGCCCTCACACCTCTGGTGGGCTTGTAATGGAAAATACCCCATTGATAGATGATTTTCCCATCAACACCTGGATTGATGGTAGATTTTCCAGCCATGTTACCAGAGGGTACACCAGTTTTTTTTTTTCGGGTTTGAGTTGATTGCCCATTTATTTGCCTCCAATGAGGCTTCTCCAGTTTTCCACAGTGATGGCCCAACTAACAGATATTTTTTATGGGACTATAATGAAATATAATTAACCAGTCATAGGAGTTATATATCATCCCATTAATTTATAACTCTTAGTTGGGCCATCACTGTAGGATTTTTTTTATGAATTGAATGAAATTTAATGACGATTTAATGGGATTAATGGTGATTTAATGATGTTTTCCACCTCAACTAGCCATGGTTTCTTCATCGGATGCCGGCGATGCCCCTTGGATCTGGCTCCACGGACGGCCCAGGAGGAATGCTCCACTCCTCGATCTCTTTCTTCCTTGGCCGGCGTCGTCAAGGACGACAGTCTGACGACATCTCGTCAAAATACCAAGAACATCCAAGAACTAATGGGTAATACAAGAAATACAAAGTGAAATACCATTAAATCCCCATTAACAAATCCCATTAACTAATACCATCAAGTCACCATTCTTTGATAGTGATCCCAAGAATTTCGCCAGGTCCGGGCCATTGCCACGCTTTTTGGGTATTTCTGGATGGCAAGATTTTGATGAAACCAGCAATTTCCAGAGCGCTCAGAGCCTAGGATAGAATCGACAGAACATGTATAAGAACCTGGAAAAGAACTCCACTGTTCAGGGATTTCATTCAGGGATTTTATGAAATTGAAATGGAATGCGATGTACTGATTCTTCTTACCTGCTCTAAGTATTGACAAAATCACATCCCCATCCATGCAGTGACCCTTGGCAATACAATCCTGAAGAGCCCATTGGATCCTCCTGAGGATTGAATCTCAACCCATCTCAGCCCTAGTCAAGTCATAAAGTGAGTTTCACTGTATCTTAGTATCTTACTCAAACACTCTCATTTTTACCTGGGTCAATGACGCAACATGACCCCATGAAAATCTACCGATAAAAACCTTCCAGTCTACCCGAGATTAGTGCCCAGGGAGTTGCGCTCGATTTGCTGGTGAAATCCACATACCCTCTGGTAAACGTTAACTATGGAAAATCACCATGTTTAATGGGAAAATCAACTATGTCTATGGCCATTTTCAATAGCTATCATAAATCAGCTATAAATCCCCATGGAAATCCCCATTTTCCTATGGATAAATCCACTATTTCGATTGGGCCATGGCTATTTTGACATAACCAGGCCGGGTATTTGCCATGGACAAGTCACGTCTGTGCTACGGTGCTTTGCTGCTCATCCCGGTTTGGGGTAAAAACCGCAGCTCAGTACAGTACGAGGTGAGGCACCCCATAAGTTGGTGGAGTTTAACCCACAAATACAAAAAAACGTAGTTACCATCTGGTTATTTAACAGTTTGCCACGGAAAATCACTATTTTTAATAGGTAAGCCATCTATTTCTATGGGCCATCTATACCATGGCTATGCTAAATAACCAAAGGGTACATCCCCCATAAACTCAAGTGTTAATCAAGTTGTGTGCGTCAACTTCGTATCAAATGAATATCAACTATAAACCCATTGACTTTAGTTCTATACCCCAGGAACCCTAGCTCAACAAATCTAAACAAGTTATAAGTCAACTCAGACTTAGCTATCCCCAAATGGGGCCTCAGCTCGTATGTCAAATATGGATATTAATAGACTGATGAGCATCCGATGGGATCTTTTTGCAGCAAAACCTCCGGGCCCCTGCCAGGCTGCTTCCGCTGGTACGCCACGAAGGTCTCATTCCGAACCTCACGAGACACGCGGTGACCGGTTCGTATTGAGCTTTGCCTCAATGGTTTCTATTGGCTATACATAATATACTAGAAAACTATCCCTATGACAGCCATTCAGCACGTTTAGGCCACTGTTAAGGGGCGGCTAAACAAGACTACAGGAAACATACTGAAACTGGTATGCCTTGCCAGCCGAAACTGTGGCTGGGAGCTGACAATTAAGGATTCGAATTTGGCTCCTTGCTTTTCGGATCACCCAACGTTGTATGATACCATAAAAGAGGGTTGGAGTCTGGAGCGTTCAAGGCAAGCATGGCACTACCACTCTGAAGGTAGTCGCGGGCGTCTGTTACAGTAGCCGAGCCATTTGCCAAGGAGCTCCCGAAGGCCCAAGCAAAGAAACAGAAACAGTGAACACAGTGAACACTGCATATCCGATTCAACTGAAAGAATGGGGGGGTTGTTGGGAATGAAGATCTATCTTCGTTGATCACTGATCCCAAATGTCCAATAAAAAACAGGTGGTACGCTGTCCGGGCATCACCTCGCAATACGGTATTCCATCATCTCCCCGAAAAACATCGCAATGGAATGGTTGGTTCTATAGCCCATAGCCTTAAGAACGTTAAGTCCCATTGAATTCCCATGGAATGATTGATTAGATCCCATTAAATCATCAACGTCTTTGGAGTCAACTTCCATTCATACAAGAACAAAATCTTCAAAGTTCATTACTGGCAGTTGCTTCAATCTGGTAGTTGCCCTCTGGTAATTTAACGACAAGCTATTGAACATGGTCCATAGAAAAAGTTGATTTACCTTAATTGTGGTGATGTTCCGGTTCGCTATGTTGGTTTACCAGAGGGTATATCATCATGTTATGTTTTATTTTTGATACATAAATCTTGGCTCAGTGGTGTTATATAATTATATATTACATCATCATATTAGTTCATGTGAAAAATCATGTTATGTTATGTTATACAACCCATAGGATCCATGGTGCTGCTATATATGGTAACATGGATCCCATCAACATACCCCTTTTATGTTAGAATTAATATACTAGCACCATGGATCCGTCATGGGTAATGTTAATTCATGTTCCATCCCATAAATCACCATTTTTAATGGGAAAATCCACTATTTCTATGGCCATTTTCAATAGCTATTTTGACATAACTAGAGGGTAATCATCCATTAAATCCCATTAAACCACCATTTTCCTATGGTTTTCCTATAGTTTAATTTAAATCCCATAAATCCAGCTGTGCCTTTTTTGGCTCTCTTAGTGACTTCACCGTGACGACACGACCCGATCGTCAGACTGGGCTCGAGCGCCTTGCGCCTCTCGTCAATCTTGGCCTCGCTGGCGGCGTGGCGGCGTGGCCCCAGGGGGGATCCAGGGCCTCTGACCATGGGGATTTCATAGGAAATGATGATCTTAAACACCATGGGAAAACCATAGGAAAATGTGGGAAAATGAAGGTTGAATAGTGGTTAACAGTGGTTAATAATGATAATCAATGATTATAATGGGATCTTACCCTCTGGTAAACGTTTACATAACGAACTGGAAAATCCACCCATGCTATCAAGAACGGTAAATCCACTATTTCCACTGGGCCACCCTCAATAGCCATTCAAAGTTAACCATGCGATTTTATTTGATATATGCTGAAATTTTGGATAATGGAGATGCAACCAACCAGTACTGCAATACACACAGGTGCTATGTACCATCCCCGCAAAAGTGACTCTCGCCACGAGTTCGCCTAACTCCGAGGGTCCATGTTGGTTCGGGGGGCTCTGGTCATCTTAGAAATGTTGCTATGACCCTCTGGTAAACAAACATAGCTATTGAACATGGCCATAGAAATAGTTGATTTACCCATTAAAAATGGTGATGTTCAATAGTTATGTTAGTTTACCAGAGGGTATTTTGTAGTAAATTCATACCATGCCCTACAGCTCCATAACCATCTATAACCATTTATAACCCATCTAATCTACTCCTATAACTCACCAATCATCACTCAAAAAATCTTACGTAATACGGCTCCAAACACCGAGACTGAGACTGTATGGATGGAATTTAACTTGGGTGACAGGTATCAAGGTCCTGTTGATGGCTGTGAGTCACAACCGATTCAGCAATCATCGAGTCGTCTGGATGCAGGCGGTATATATGCACCAGTCGTTGCAATTTTGGGATCAGCCAGTTGTGCTTAGATGGGCCATGGAGTTAGTGAAAACTAGTTAGTAAATGGATTGTAATTGGGATTTAGAGGGTAACAAATCCCCAGTTACTAACCAGGAATCGTTAATCCCATGGCCCATCTAAGTGGACAGTTAGGGATGCGACTTGGGGACTTAAGTTAGCATTATGCATGAGGTACTGATGATAATTGATGATACTCCAGAGGAAACCCGTATATGTCACACAGCGTACCTGTAGATCTCGGAAGCGATGCTGCTCAGCGTTGAACCATCCTTGGCAGGGCCAACACATTAAAACAACCATTAACTTACTGGTGCTCAGTAGAGAATGGATGGGAATGGGGACATGGAATTATTATTAATAGTTATTGTGCATCATTCCCTCATTCCCTACTAAGCACCAGTAAGTAGAAAACACGTACATTTACATTCAATATATCTATTTACATCTATTAGAATCTATTTACACCTGTTTATACACATGTATTTACAGGGGGATGGGTCGAACCTATTATTACCATAGTTGGGGGCATAACCATCCATTAGCTGTTTTAGAGTGCCGATTGGGTGCCAGGGTTTTGACCCATGAGCACCCGTCTCCGTTTTCTGAGCGGATGCAGCGAGCTAAAGTGAGAAAGTGAGAGGGTTTTGACTCATAGCCATATCTGGGGGTTTCCATATATGGGGGTACCCCAAGTCACCATGGGTTTCAATACTATGTCATGGTCTAATGACTTTTATGAATTGGGGTATAATATATATATATAGATAATTTTATATATTATATCCCTAATTTTATCATATTTTATCTATTATATCCCTATTCTAGGAAACCTCCATGCATTTTCCGTGTTTTTTTTTGTGATGTTCTTCCCAAAGAAAATCCCGTCGAAAAATCCAGTCGCACTGGGCGTCTGGGCGTTGAAGCAACTGGCCGTGCACCTTGTGCCAGGTCAAGGCCTTGAGCTTCGTTGGGATTGATGGATGTTTAATGGTAACTTCTTTAATTAGTCACAATGTGAGGCCCCCAAGATAGCTAAGTTTGTTTATAACTCCAATACCTATGGTTTATGGTACTTATAACTATAGTTGCTGGGGCTTATAAACCAACCAATATCACTGGGGGGCCTCACATTGCATCTAACCCCTGAATATTTGTCGGGATTTATATTATTATATTTTATTTATATGGATTTGTTCATCTCAACCTGAAAAAATACTTTGGATTTAAATGGATTTATGGATGCTCAATGATGATGATGATGATGATGCCACAAAATATGGGTGTAATTGTTCAGCCATCCCGGGCATACCAAATAACGTCACACTCAACCGGTCTGTTCACTACTCTCATACAGAGCTTCCAAAAAATGATAGGAGGCTTCATCTCACTCTCTCCTACATTATCTGGTTGGTGGTATACCTACCTCTCTGAAAAATATGAGTTCGTCAGTTGGGATCATTATTCCCAATATGATGGGAAACATAATCCAAATGTTTGAAACCACCAACCAGCTACACTATTGAAGCTGATTTGCGCCATTTCAAACGACCCTTTCGATTTTTGTTGGGGGGCCGCAAGACAGCGCTTCGCGGCAGCCGGTCTCACTGCGACAAAAGAACCCATTCATCTGTCTCCAGCTGGATCCTTGGCTGTCCACAAGGTCGGATGCCCCCAAATCTGCAAATGAGCTTCAGATATGCTTCAGATATGCTTCACTCCCCCGGTTTTTGCTTGAGCTTGTTGATGGATTACTCTATTTGATGACCAACTGTACACAAATCTGTGAAGCTGGGATGAAAGAAAAACCAGGTTCAGAGCCAGCACCAGGATGGGTCCTCGACCGCCACAATGATTTGCTAGACGATTTCAAGCTCAAAGAGATTTGGGAACTATCTGAAATGTCAATCCAACATATCCAAAAATCCTGGAATATCTCTTGATAAAATCTCCGTGTTGGCGTCTTAAAACAACTTAAGCATCCAACGACACAATCACCCATCTCAGAATAACAAGTGTATTTTCCCGTTGCATATGACACACCACTCTCTGGTAATCTAACCAAACCACAATAAAAACATCTAGAGGTGAACAATCTGCAAATCGCCATACACTAATAATCGCAATGATAAAACAATTTCAGCATGATATACCCTCCACTAAATGAAACATAGGCCCTCAAAATAGACACTTAAATTGGATCTGTTCAGTGGGAAGTCAAAAGTAATCTTCCATCCCAAACTCATGGCACGGTCCATGTTGCTTTAGGGGAATGTATATAAATGCAAATCACCATGTGTTTTTAAAGTAATTATAGGTAAATCCCACTAAATCAGAATTCTTCATAGCTAAATCCCATTAGACCACCGGTTTCTTAGATAAATCCCATTTTTGTCACCATTTTTGTCACCATTTCCCTGTTATCCAGTGAAATCCTGGCCAACAATCGCATTGAAAACATCACCTGATTACTTAGATGGGCCATGGGATTTTGCTGATTCCTAGTAACTGGGGATTTGTTACCCCCAAAAAATCCCAATGAAATAAGCCATGGCTACTAACTAGTTTTCACTAACTCCATGGCCCATCTAAGTACATTCATATCCCAATAAATCCCATGAAGTTCCCAAAAAAAAACATAAAAAACAACCCTTAAGAAAAGTCTCTTAAGAAAACCCATGAAATCTCATAAAAAAGAACGTCCCATGAAAAATCACCAGTTTTCATTTTGTGAAAATCCCCACAGACGCACCGGTTTTTCATCCGAGTCTCCAGTGGTCCTCCGTGACCTTCCACGTCTTCGCCTTGACCACCTCGTCGAACATGACGCGCCGCGTGATGGGGCCGTCTTCTTGCGGTTTGTTGCGTATCACCATGGCAGGCTTGAAGACCTGGCTATGGGGAGGAGAAATAGGGGCCCTAGGGGTTGGGCCGTCATGCTATAGATACCATGCTGGTTGGCTATAGCCATTTTGGTGGATCCATGATCAATATTTGCTGTACCACTTTGGGTAGCAATTTTCTTGGTGCCAAGCTCATTTTTAGCAGTTGGCAATGGCCCCATTTTGCGGATCTTCATTTAGCCGCCCCTTCCAACTATAATATAGATGTTACTATATGCATCACTACTCACGAATCACTGTCAACATGTAACATCATCACTAACCTGTCAAATCTTTTTGACCGCTGCTGCTAACCACTATAAGCATCTATAACCCATCTAATCTACTTCTATAACTCACCAATCATCATTCTCAATCTTACTATACGGCTCCAAACACCTTCTGAGACTGTATTGGAGTTGTTTTTTGGAGTCTGTTTACACCTTCTCAGAGGGTATTTGGAGCACTAGGGTTACTATAACTATACCCCCTTCAAAAAAAAAGGCCTTCAACATTCATTTGGTGGTTTCCTAAAATGGGGCTACCCCCAAATCGTCCATTTTAGTCGGATTTTCCAATTATTTGTATGCCTCAGGAATCCCCTAGGAATCGTCTTCAATGTATTCCTCAGGCGTCACCAAACCATCGAGGTTGGTGAGTGCGTTCTTCTTGACCCGTGCGCTTTTTAGGAGTGCTTGTGGCGAGTAATGGTTGACCAGCTGACACGTAGCAAAACATGGTGGATGTTAATAGATCTTAACTAAACTGGTGAATTTAACCGTTAAACATGAGGATATATATATGATTTATATCATATCATCTCACATTTCACTTGATTTAACGAAAAAAAAAAAGGAGTTGGCTACTGCAATCAGTCTCTGTTATTGCTAGTAATTACCAGTACCCGTAGCAGCCACAATTCCGGAGCCCCCAAACAATTTCCACAGCAGGGGCCCCGACGCAAACCCACTGGTTTTGGTAGTTGTTATTCTGCATGAACTCATCCACCCACTTCTTTTCCTCGTGGTTGTCTGGTGTCTGGGATGTTTCTCCAAAAAAAGGTAGGAGAAATCATGCCGTATATGGACACATTCTGCGGTAAAAGAAGCCCTATGTCCCTATGTTAACTCTCTACCGCATGAGTCAAGTGGTGGACCATACCGGTGACTACCGAAGTACTGCATGTACGGCTAGCGGCTAAATCTGTGGCGCCCGTCGTAGAATACCAACAATCAGTGATTCACATGCTCACTCACAACGTGCTAAATGCTCGCGTTGGTTAAACTTGGTAGAACAACATGGTATTTACTATTCGGACATATTACCACATATCAATAACTGGCTCACTCTCTTTATCCAGCAAATTTCACGATTACTGCTTTGATCCGCGTTTCTTTGGACATGACTTGGTTGTTGATCATTGTTACATTTTATCTTACAGTTGAGGCCCTTTACCAGTTATAAATGGCTATAAACGGATATACATAGGGTTATCATTAAATAGATTGGGTTATAGCTGACTTATAAATGGCAAAGGGCAATAACTGTATGACTTGCATCCGCATCATTCTCAAAGTTCAACCTCGTCATCTTCCCTTGAGACAAGGAGCTGCTTGAAGCTGAAATTCGAAGTTGGAACGCAGCCTGAGTGGAGGCTGTCAAACCATCAATTATATCATATGTTGGCATATGTCGGCATGTTAGCTATGTTAGCTCACAACAAAGGTGTAGTTGTTTGTTTGTTTGTTTGTTTGCTTGCTTGCTTGTTTGTTTGTTTGTTTGTTTGATTGTTTGTTTGTTTGTTTGCTTGTTTGTTTGTTTGTTTGCTTGTTACCCCCATGTCTTAGCAATGGTATGAGTCATATCATGTTATCTTTGTCGAACTTTGCCACTTATGGTAACAAACAACACATCACCAACCTACCGAAATAAGGTGTACTTGGAATCTGATGCAACCAGCTACATCTGGAAAGGAGTGCTCATCCACCATCATCCACCATTGATATAGATACAATGTGGGGCCCCCCAGTTATGTTTGTTGGTTTATAAACCCCATTAACTATAGTTATAAGTACCATAGACCATAGTGAAATTGGAGTTATGTTCACCAACTGAGCTATCGACTGGGGGCCCCACATTGTATAGATAGAGATACACTGACTGAGTCATTGTTTTGGTGTCCACTTGACCAAGATTGACCAAGTCTAGAAGTGAAATCCAATCAATTGCAGGCTCAGTTGGGTTGATTATCCAGTATCCATTGGCGAAAAAAATATGGAATGCTTACCCATGCCATACATGCAGTATATGGGTTGGGTGTGTAAATTCATCCAGCAATATACATGCACATACTTTCACATGTTAAGCCAATTGCCTGAAATAAAGATCTAAATGTACGACACTATACATGCATATATATATATATAAATATATATATCAGCTTCCTGAAAAACATCGGTATTTTCGGTCAAACATACCCCAACGTTCTGCTAAACCTCTCCCCCCAGAGGATTCAGTTCGATCGTTCGATCCAAGGAACCCGTTCATCTCCCTCTCCACGCGTTCAAGCTCACGCTTCCTGAGCGATGTCGACAGCTGGTGGGGAAGCTACTTATGCTGAAAGGTATGTTACAGGAAGAGGCCCCATAGTTACCTAAGTTGGTTTATTGCTTTCATATGCTATAATAACAAGGACATACTAGGACTTATGATGGATATATCAAGAGTTAGATAGGGTTATAAGTTATAAACCAACTTATGACCTAGGGGGCCCTTCCTCTACATGACTGGATCCATCTGAACAAAAAATGATAAATGTTCCACTCGTGGAGGAGTGATGAGAAATTACGAGCCTTCAACAATCCTTTGAGGTTCTATGACTGCTTCGTATTCTCAAAACTCGCTTGGGGAACGACACCCAGTTTTGCATCCATGTGAGCCCAGGATCAATCAACACCCGAATTATCAATAGGAGGATTACATATTACCAATTTTAATGGTAATTCATGACTATTTTTAAGGTACCCCCTGAATTAGTTGTCAGGGTTTAGTAACCCGGGAGAGACATTACCCCAAAGAATCCTAAATCTTCATGACGCACTGGATGTCTGCCGGGAAATGATGCTATATGATGCAATATGATAGGGCTTCTTGAAAGGGGGGATCCCCAAAACCATAGGTTTCAATACTAAAATGGTCCAATTTGGGATGATTTTGGGGTACCCCCATTTTAGGAAACCCTCGTATCAACTTTTAGTGCTTTTCCCCCCAAAAAAAATAGTACCAAACCCACTGAAAGTATCCAAGACTCTTATCTTTTTCCAACAGCTCTCGCAGTTGTCCCTCCTGCGGATCGTCTGTTGAGGCAGCGATGTTCTCACGCTGGGTTGAGGGTTGCAACATGTTGCAACCCAGTTTCAAACCACGCAGTTCAGGAATCATGACATGACTCAATAATTCGTGTGGTTTTCTCGTTTCTGAAGGCACAGATTGGACTTGAATCTTACAAAATAAATAACAGTAGATATGCTCATGTGATCTTGTGCGCAGCAAACCTGAGACATCCGGAGACAGCCTGAGACATCTATCATAGAAGCTCATTCTACTCCATGCCATCGGCAAACAACAACAACAACAACAAAACAAAAAAACAAAAAACATTCACTGAGACCCGTTGCGCCGCTGAACAGCGTTGGCGGAAGGGTCGGCAAACAGTAAACCGTGAGTTGGGTGATGAATTTTTTCCATATAGCTCCTACTTGGGGATGCATCACAGCTAGTAAGTGGGCCCCCCCAGATAGCTCAGTTGATTTATAAATCCAATTTCACTTTGGTTTATGGTACGCAAATAACTACACTTACTGGTGTTTATAAACCAACTTAGCTATCTGGGGGCCCCACATTGTAGTAAGTGGATAACTCAGATATCAACCATACTCCAAGTGGGGATCTTTCCCTCCAGCCACTTCCCGCTGGCAGCGGCTTAATCTGTGGGGAACTCGAAAAAAAAATACGGAAAACAAATGGCCATTTGAAACCGGGAAAATGATGATAAATCCTAGTAAATCAAATTCAATCACAAATTATAGCTAGTTTTAAATCCCATTCCAGCACCATGTTTCTTGGTAAAATTACCATGTTCCAAACCACCAACCAGCACTGGTTCACCATCTTTCTCGGCAAAATCAGCATGTTTGTTCCTGAATTCCCACCAAAAAACAGTTTGCTTGGTGAAATCCCTATGAACTCACCATTTTTCATAGGTCAATCCCACTAAATCACCATTTTTCATAGGTCAATCTGGTAAATCCCATGAAAGTCACCACGTTTCATCCCCTTTTTTGAGGCTCCTCCTCCTGGCGTTCACCTGAGAGGCGTTCCTTCCGTTCGACCCACTGCCGCTTCACCTGATCCAAGTCGCCTCGGCCGTGGCGTGGCATGGGATCAGGGAAGGGATGTTTTTAGGGAAAATGTGGATATTTCTATGGGTTTTAATGGCTGAGAATGGGATTTTATGGGTTTTATTTGATTTTTCATGCACCCACAGAAGTGGACACTGAACATCTCGGTGTTCACCTTGGCACTCCTCAGCTGGACACCTCCAGCTCCGTCATCTATATACACCGCCCACCTGGCAGCATCTCCACTGTCGGTAGAGAACATCCCAATCCTCTCCAGTATTGCAATGGCAAAATGCATCATTCTGGAATGGAGGGCAGAATCTGGTCCCAGGGGCATCCCCTGCATGATGCCAAGATTGTAATCATGCCTGGTTTCAAATCCTGCTATACATATCCAGAGCTGTATTCTGCTCCACACTGCGATGTACCGCTCTGGCTTGAAGTCCCTGAACCTGCTGCCAGTTGCCGTCACATATCCGAAGAACATGGACCTGTCCATCTTGGGGCTCCAGCCGCTCATGCCATCGCTCAGCAGGCACTGGCTGGGATCCAACCAGTTATGGGATTGAGAAAAGAATTTTATGGCATGTATTTCCCCACCTGCCAGGTCGGTGAGGGTTGTTAGATTTTATCAGAGCTGTTGTCCTCCTCCTCGTCCTCCTCCTCCTCCGCCTCCTCCGCCTCCTCCTCCTCCAGTTTCTCCAGTGAGCACTGCTGGACCTCAACCTGGAACCTTCCCAGCTCTGTGTGCACCGCTGGACCTCAACCTGGGACCTTCCCAGCTCAGTGTGCACCGCTGGACCTCAACCTGGGACCTGCCCAGCTCAGTGTGCACCGCTGGACCTCAACCTGGGACCTGCCCAGCTCAGTGTGCACCGCTGGACCTCAACCTGGGACCTGCCCAGCTCAGTGTGCACCGCTGGACCTCAACGGCCAGATAGAATGCCAGAAGATATGCCAGATAGAATGTCAGATAGAATGCCAGAAGGTATGCCAGATAAAATGCCATGAGATATGCCAGATAGAACGCCAGAAGATATGTCAGATAGAATGCCAGAAGATTTGCCAGTAACAAAATGTATAAATGTCATGGTGGGGATCACACGGAGTAAAGTAATTTCTGGAATTTAATGGGATTGAATGGCTGGTTGGTGGTTGAGCCACCCCTCTGAAAAATATTAGTCAGAGTCAGTTGGGAGTATTATTCCCAATATGATGGGAAAAATAAAAAAATGTTCCAAACACCAACCAGTTATGGGATTGAGAAAGGACTTTGATGGGATTTGTTTTCTTGAAATTAATGGGATTTACTGGGATTGTATACGTAATGGGATTTTACAATGGGGTTTAGAAGCATGGGATTTGTAATAAGTTATAATTGGATTTAATGGGATCTAGTTGGCTAAGGTGGATGAAAATTCGGTGAACTGCGGTGAACTGACTATAACCGATCAGGGCTTGAAGACAGCTTAAGTTGCATCACATAGCATCCATGGGGCTGGTATATTGTTCAACATATTCATTGCTGCTTCTGGACCAAACATGTGTTAATATGTGTTATCTACCAGCCATGCGTGATAATCATGATATAGTTCATGGCAATATCACCACGCACGTGCACTGTATCCGAAGGCCTGACATTGCGCAAGAGGTGTAATATCATATGCATTAGTCCGGGGAATTTTGATCTTTGAAGATTTATACACATTGATCTTGGTCATTCATCCCGGGATCTCATTTTCAATTTTTCGGACTTTGCCCATGTCCTTCAGTCAACTGAAGTTTCTTGACGCAAGATTTCCCAGTTTCACCATGGATCCAGCGTTCCACGTGAGTCCCCATTCCGCAAAGTCGCTTTGCTTCTCGCGGATCAGCCGAGTTAGCTCCTGGGAAAGCCAAACAATGACCCTCCGGTAGCTATAGAAAATAGTTTGTCCATTGAACATTATTGAACATGGTGATTTTACATAGCTATGTCCAATTACCAGAGAGAATTTGGAGCGTGAGCTGCTGTTTTTTCGCGGATGGGAGGGTCATTCACCTTTTCAGACGGTTCCAAAAGGGCTTTATCCATATTCATCTACCATTTATGTGCTGCGAAGGAGTGCAAAGTAACGGGGTATCCATGATGCCACAAACCATCATCAGTACCCAAGCACTTTCTAGCTGTGGTAAATCTTCCAAAGTAAGGGTATACAATAAATGAATCAACATAAACAACTATATATATATATATATTGTCGACGGTTTATTATTGTGGAGCCCAACATGTTGAGTAATATGGTAAACCCAAAACATAAATCATCCCAAAAATCACCTTTTTCATGGGGAGCATAAACTATCCCCCCTAAAATGGACGGTTTATGATTGGCTTCCTCACAATATGTGCCAGACTATGGACCCCCAAAAAAATGAGTGCTACGCTAACCAGCCGTGTGCAATCAACAGCTATTTGTCAGGCGGCTCAGTTTGCCGACATCACTTGCAATTTGGTGCCCCCATGAATAAGTTGGCTTATAAACCCCATTAACTATAGTTCTATCTACCATAAACCACAGAATTCAGCAACTTGTAAGGCGTTTCTGAACGCTATCTGGTAAGGATTGGTGCTAAACAAACGCGGAGCCATCGTCTGTCGGCAACTTGGCCATGTTGATTTCCCGCTTATATTTGGGGTGATAAACATCCACTGTTGTAGATCATTTTGCCAGTTATATATTATAGTTATCCGTATATTAGATAGTTATATCAGATATCCAGTTACTATTTGATCCATTAGATTATATACATTATGTATATATATATATATATAGACTGGGACGTCTTATAAGAAGATTTTTATCTGCTTATGACACCTCAAAATCAGGGATTTTCCTCAAATAAGACCCTACCAAAAATGACCTGCCCCAAAACTGACCCAGTAATAAGCAGATTCCAGGAATGTGTAGTTGTGAATCTGCTTCTTACAGGTCAATCCCAAAAGGTGGATTGTTATTTTCTTCTAAATATATATATATATATTATAATGTATTATATACATGTGTGTGTGATAGTCTGCGATTTTATATGAAACAAGCATGTCAGCCTCTTGCTTGGTGTGGATAAAAGTACCCTACTTTGGTCCGCATCCCCAATCCCAAGTAGTTCCATGTTCTCAGGGGCGTGCTATTCAGAAAGGGCACTGGAGTACATTTGTGCTGCCAGAAGATCCGTCGACCCTTCGCTCCCACCTCTTACTGATTCTAACCTTTGGTTGAGAACATTTTCTGTTGCTCAATGTTTTAAATGTATTGTTCAAGAAACTCCGTCCTTGGACACCTGATAGTGTCCTCCTATCAAATGGGGGGTAATAAGCAGATTGACAATCTGCTAGTTACAGGTCTTGAATGTTTAGACACCATTTTATTTCAAACAAACTATGTAAAAAACAATGAAAACAATGAGAAAACCATGAAAAACTATGAAAAAAACAATGAAAACATGAACAACTATGAAAAAAACAATGAAAACAATGAGAAAATCATGAAAAACTATGAAAAAACAATGAAAACAATGAGAAAATCATGAAAAACTATGAAAAAAACAATGAAAACAATGAGAAAACCAAGAAAAACTATGAAAAAAACAATGAAAACAATGAGAAAATCATGAAAAACTATGTAAAAAAATAATGAAAACAATGAGAAAATGATGAACAACTATGAAAAAAACAATGAAACCAATGAGAAAATCATGAAAAACTATGAAAAAAGCAATGTGATTATATGGGGTGTGACAAGCAGATTGTTAATCTGCTTATTACAGGTCCTTTCGGTTTAAATATATCTCTATATATAATATCTTTGAACACTGTCCTTTGAACACCTGATCAAATAGGGGGTAATAAGCAGATTGACAATCTGCTAGTTACAGGTCTTGAATGTGTTGGCACCATGTTATTTAAAACATTGAGAACATGATGAAAAACTCTGCAAAAAAGAATGAAAACAATGAGAAAACTATGAAAAACTCTGCAAAAAAGAATGAAAACAATGAGAAAACTATGAAAAACTCTGCAAAAAAGAATGAAAACAATGAGAAAACTATGAAAAACTCTGCAAAAAAGAATGAAAACAATGAGAAAACTATGAAAAACTCTGCAAAAAAGAATGAAAACAATGAGAAAACTATGAAAAACTCTGCAAAAAAGAATGAAAACAATGAGAAAACTATGAAAAACTCTGCAAAAAAGAATGAAAACAATGAGAAAACTATGAAAAACTCTGCAAAAAAGAATGAAAACAATGAGAAACCTATGAAAAACTCTGCAAAAAAGAATGAAAACAATGAGAAAACTATGAACAACTCTGCAAAAAAGAATGGAAACAATGAGAAAACTATGAAAAACTCTGCAAAAAAGAATGAAAACAATGAGAAAACTATGAAAAACTCTGCAAAAAAGAATGAAAACAATGAGAAAACTATGAAAAACTCTGCAAAAAAGAATGAAAACAATGAGAAAACTATGAAAAACTCTGCAAAAAAGAATGAAAAACAATGAGAAAACTATGAAAAACTCTGCAAAAAAGAATGAAAACAATGAGAAAACTATGAAAAACTCTGCAAAAAAGAATGAAAACAATGAGAAAACTATGAAAAACTCTGCAAAAAAGAATGAAAACAATGAGAAAACTATGAAAAACTCTGCAAAAAAGAATGAAAACAATGAGAAAACTATGAAAAACTCTGCAAAAAAGAATGAAAACAATGAGAAAACTATGAAAAAGTAGTACCCACAGAGTTTTTCTAGTTTTCATAGTTTTCTCATTGTTTTCATTCTTTTTTGCAGAGTTTTTCATAGTTTTCTCATTGTTTTCATTCTTTTTTGCAGAGTTTTTCATAGTTTTCTCATTGTTTTCATTCTTTTTTGCAGAGTTGTTCATAGTTTTCTCATTGTTTTCATTCTTTTTTGCAGAGTTTTTCATAGTTTTCTCATTGTTTTCATTCTTTTTTGCAGAGTTTTTCATAGTTTTCTCATTGTTTTCATTCTTTTTTGCAGAGTTTTTCATAGTTTTCTCATTGTTTTCATTCTTTTTTGCAGAGTTTTTCATAGTTTTCTCATTGTTTTCATTCTTTTTTGCAGAGTTTTTCATAGTTTTCTCATTGTTTTCATTCTTTTTTGCAGAGTTTTTCATAGTTTTCTCATTGTTTTCATTCTTTTTTGCAGAGTTTTTCATAGGTTTCTCATTGTTTTCATTCTTTTTTGCAGAGTTTTTCATAGGTTTCTCATTGTTTTCATTCTTTTTTGCAGAGTTTTTCATAGTTTTCTCATTGTTTTCATTCTTTTTTGCAGAGTTTTTCATAGTTTTCTCATTGTTTTCATTCTTTTTTGCAGAGTTTTTCATAGTTTTCTCATTGTTTTCATTCTTTTTTGCAGAGTTTTTCATAGTTTTCTCATTGTTTTCATTCTTTTTTGCAGAGTTTTTCATAGTTTTCTCATTGTTTTCATTCTTTTTTGCAGAGTTTTTCATAGTTTTCTCATTGTTTTCATTCTTTTTTGCAGAGTTTTTCATAGGTTTCTCATTGTTTTCATTCTTTTTTGCAGAGTTTTTAAATAACATGTTGCCAAAACATTCAAGACCTGTAGCTAGCAGATTGTCAATCTGCTTATTACCCCCTATTTGATCAGGTGTTCAAAGGACAGTGTTCAAAGATATTATATATAGAGGTATATTTAAACCGAAAGGACCTGTAATAAGCAGATTAACAATCTGCTTGTCACACCCCATATAATCACATTGTTTTCTTCATAGTTTTTCATGATTTTCTCATTGTTTTCATTGTTTTTTTCATAGTTGTTCATCATTTTCTCATTGTTTTCATTGTTTTTTTCATAGTTTTTTCATGATTTTCACATTGTTTTCATTGTTTCCATAGCTTTTCATCATTTTCTCATTGTTTTCATTGTTTTTTTACATAGTTGTGCATCATTTTCTCATTGTTTTCATTGTTTTTTACATAGTTTTTCATGATTTTCTCATTGTTTTCATTGTTTTTTTCATAGTTTTTCTTGGTTTTCTCATTGTTTTCATTGTTTTTTTAATAGTTTTTTCATGATTTTCACATTGTTTTCATTGTTTCCATAGCTTTTCATCATTTTCTCATTGTTTTCATTGTTTTTTACATAGTTTTGCATCATTTTCTCATTGTTTTCATTGTTTCTTTCATAGTTGTTCATCATTTTCTCATTGTTTTCATTGTTTTTTCATAGTTTTTCATGAATTTCTCATTGTTTTCATTGTTTTTTCATAGTTTTTCTTGATTTTCTCATTGTTTTTTTTTTTTTAAAAAATAGTTTTTCCTCATTTTCTCATTGTTTGTTCATAGTTTTCATGATTTTCTCATTGTTTTCATTGTTTTTTCATAGTTTTTCATCATGTTTCATTGTTTTCATTGTTTTTTAGATAGTTTTTCATCATTTTCTCATTGTTTTCAATTTTTCATCATTTTCTCATTGTTTTCATTGTTGTTTTTACATTGTTTTTTTAATCATTTTCTCAATGTTTGAAATAAAATGGTGTCAACACATTCAAGACCTGTAACCCATCCCCTAGTATATAGTATACCTAAATCAGGGACCAATAATGAAAAAGAAACAATGCTAAACCAATGCTTCTGGGGATGTGTTTAATGCTAGGGGGTGTTAGGGGACTGTACAATATATATATAGGTGGTTCCAGGGCGTAGCCCAATAAATTCCAGGGCGTAGCCCAATAAATTCCAGGGCGCAGGCGTAGCCCAATAAAATCTGCACGGTAACAATTACCTCAGTAGAAAATTAAACTGTAATAAGCAGATTTTGGATCTTTGGGGTATAAATGCATTTTGGACTGTAATAAGCAGATAAACCTCACGAGTGGTGAGGGTTTTGAGCAATCTGCTTGTCTGCTGGCGGTGGCATAAATCTGCTTCTTGGGCGTCCCCAACTATATATATATATATATATTATGTTCAGCCTTATTTGGCTATGTTGATGCTCACCCGACAAACCCTCACCGACTCACGATGGCAAGGGCCACGTGGATAGTTCGTCAGTTGGGATGATGATATTCCCAACTGAATGGAAAGTCATAAATGCATGTTCCAAAGCACCAACCAGAAATGATAAATGATGATCAACATATTGGGAAACTTTGGTGCACAGTACCCCATGTGGTATATTTCTGTGGACAAGTTATAGAATCGATATGAATCGATCCTGAAGCAGATTTACCATGATTTACCATTCTCCCAATTAACTCAGACCTGAGAATAACAATAAGTAATTTGAAGGAATGTAGTCTTCCAACCCCAAAATAACAGGGTTTATGGAGGCTCAGCAACTCCGAAATTGGAGATTGGTGACTTTTACTGTAATCGTTAAGTAACTAAGTAAAGCAATAGGATCCACCATTCCCAAATCTACCATTTTTTATGGGGATTCCAAACATCAAACCATAAGTTATTATAAGGGTAGTTTATGACATTGCTTTACTAAAACTATATGGCTTAATCATGGGCCAATCAGTTTATATATGTTTATATGATGTGGCAAATCTGATGGTTGATCAGATAAGCAAACATTTTCTGTTATATAACTAGCATTAACGGAACGGGATTTACTGGGATATCACCGACCGATGTATGGAAATTATGGGATATATAAATTAAAAATAGCAACTATCGGCGGTCGCTTCTCCCTTAGGCCCTTGTGGCACCTTCTAGAGCCTCTTTGCCGTCTGGGCATAAGTCAGCCAGCAGTTGCCCCTGTATTGTATGTGCAGGTCGCCTTTGGCAAGTGCGTTGTTGCCGAACACTGGGCCTCCTCTGGCATCATTCCCTGTACAAGCAATCCCTGCCCACTCTGACGTGGTGGGGGCGTATGTCTCAAGCATGCTATCCAGCATAAACGTGTTCATGTGGAGCCTTGCTGCATCGATTGCCTTCTGGTTCTTCCCTTTTGGGAACATCAAGCCCTTTGTCCAAGAGTCTTACCCCGGAGAGATTTCAAATGGGCGACACGACCCCGTAGGTGTCAGAGTCGAGTGTAGGCGGCACGGCAAGCCATCAATCCTCGCTTTGTGGAGAAGTAGCGTGCGCAAGACGACAGTAACTATAGTAGCTTGTTGATAAATATTACAACAGCTACTCGACATTTTCTGTTGATGGTTGGCAATATCTACAGTATATGTCTTGCTTTACATCACATCGTCCCGTGGGGTCGTCCTTCTCCTCCTCATCTTCAGCTTCCTGCAAGTCCACAGTCCTCGGAGTCACGCGTCTTGGGGAGATTCGTTCAGTTGGGACCAAGGGCCAAGGGTCCACGTTAAAGAACTGAAACATATGGAGGGTACGAGCCATTTGAGTAGGATTTTCCATGAAAAACCATCCATGAATTGGGGAACCCACATTTCAGGAAAACACCATAGAGGATTTATGGCAAATCATAGAGATCTGATATGTTTTGAGTCTCCGTTGATCTTTGGTACTTATTGCAATCTTATTGCAATATATTAAATTTCAGTGAGTCACTGTTCATCTGACAGATTGTAAATCTTCACACATCTGACATTCGAAATGGCTGGTGCTGTTTCCCCAAGAGAAGCTGCGATAGGGGTCATATCTCCAATGTTCATGCCATGGTAGACCCATATTAAGTGTTGTTGAATAAGACACATTCGATAGCAACAACAAAAATACTAAGGCTTCAAACACATACAATGTGGGGCCCCCCCAGTAATAAGTTGGTTTTTAAATTTATAAACCCATAAACCCCATTAACTATAGTTATAAGTACCATAAACCATAGTTATTGGAGCTATAAACCAACTTAGCTATCTTGGGGGCCCCACCTTTGTAGTGGATCTGGCAACTTTGGGGGTTCCGCCAAAACTCACCGACGAGCCATATTTTGTTGTTTACCTCCGGTAAACTGCCGGAGTTGGCAGAGTGATGCAACCCCAGTAAACAACATATAACATAAACAACCTCAGAAACCGTCAAACTTAAACACCCTGTTGGCTAGTTTAATTCATTCTTGGACGTGCATCCCAGATAAGTGGGTAGTAAGGTAAATATCACCAAATCATTACTGGTTGGCGGTTTCAATGGGAAGGATTATCCCATATATTATGGAAAATAAAAAATGTAATAAACATGTTCCAAACCACCAACCAGATTACCTCAGTTATGTACATGTCTTATTCCCCACATTCAGCAACTGGGATGCAACCCCTCCAGAGGCCCCAACACGGGAGCCAAGCGTCACCTCCGCCGTGCTTTGTCCCGGAGCGCCCAAAGTCGTGGCCGCCGCCAGCTCCTCTTCCGGCTCTGGCAGATCATGGAAACCCTCTGGGGGGCCCAGATCAAAGCGTAGAAGAAACTCTTGCACCTCAGTCAGTGCGGTGCTGTCGTGAAGAGCCTACAACAACTTCAACAATGGCGCTTGAATGGGATGCATGCTCTGAACAACAACATATGGATATGTGATATAGACTGATACTGTAAGAATCAATAGCTTGTAGTGGTGCTTATTAACAATCAACATATCTGGGGACATGTAGTGAGTGTAATGAGACAGACTTGAGACAAATCAAACATGCAACATGTATGTCATGTTCTTCAATGCGCATAGTATGTGCAAACGCGTCAAACTTGGACAAGGTTGGGGAACACATGATCTTCTGTCTATCTCAAGGGCATCTTGCTTCATGAGTTTCTGCTGGAACATTATGAGAACTACAGCACCTCGCTGGACAAAATAATCATCACTCAATTCAGGTCACACCCCACTGAGCATCATTCAATTATCCTTATGGTCTGTGCTGTTGGCAGTGGTTCATCAACTAACAAACACACGATACAAACTCATCATTGATGGTTTGATACAAACACATACCCAAATGTTGCAGGTCCAAACTAAATTGACAATCAGCATGATGGTTTCAATGTGTTTGATCACATATCACCCTGATTGAAAGGGTTCTGTACCAACTCCGCGTACCGAAATGGTCAAACGCATGAAACATTAATATCAAATTTAATATCACTGTGCATTCTATTATAAGCTACACCAACAATGGAACATGGAAAGGGCTAAGTCCCCTGTGGACTGTAGCCACACAACCACCACTTCATCTGGCTCACAGATCTGGGAAAATTGCAGCAATTCTGACAAGTACCGTCATCTCCGGGGTCGCATTGCCTAGTTGCATGGAGATCAGTTGGTATTGCTTCAATTCAAAGTCGTGCCCCAGTTCTAAGCTGGATCATATACACACTGAACTACAAGGTGGTGCCCCCCAAGTTCTAAGTTGGTTTATAATGCCATTAAGTATAGATATATCTACCATAAGTCTTGTTATTAGGGTTATAACCCAACTTAGCTATCTTGGGGGCACCACCTCTTACCTTCCCCCCACTGATCTCATGCCCAACCCGCCGGCCCCGGCGCCTCCGTCAACGTCGCTCGCGGCTTGGTCGTCTCCGCCGTCGCCGTCCCCGGCTTCACCGTGGCCATCGGCCCGGCGACGTCCTCAGCGAGCTCGGCGTCGGAGAGCGTGGTGTGCGCGTACGGCAGGGCGCGCGGCAGCAGCTGCACATTGCAGCACCAGCCGTAGCCCTGGATTTGGTGAGATTTTTTCAAGGGAAGATCGGTGGAAGAACATGGAAGAGACAAAATAGAGATGACAACATATCCATGGCAGTTGGATAATATTCTATAAATTGGATGTACGGGTACCTGAGGTATATCAGTACATCTTTGAGGTTAGTTTAAATATAACACATTGTGAAACCGACGGAGGAGGAATGAACATGATGGACACATCTTGAAAGTACGGGCCAAGTAGTTTCACCAAGCGGCACAACCAATCAGCAACACATGTGATGATTGGGCTTGTACCAACAATCATGATATGCTTGGGTGACAGTTGAGAAAAGAAACAGGGATGGCAACAAACACGGGATCAACATCAGTCAAAAAAATGGGCATGACTAGTTTGACGATGAACATTCATAAACTTCAAGGGGAAGTTTGCGCTGCAAAGGGTTCCTTGGAACATGTTCAATTGTCAGGTACATTGTATCCGGGGAGGATCCACAAATTGAAACCATTGCCAAAGGATGTTGAAACTGTTCTGCCAAGTTGATCATATTTATAGGATTGTTGACCATCATTATCCATTACATTGTCAACCAAGATTTCGATCTTTCACCATTATTCACCACTATTGCCCTTTGGCAATCAAACATAGCAATGGACAATCAATTAGTTTTTGCATATTTTCCATCATCAACCACTGTTCACCATTATTGTCCAGCCAATTATCAAATATGTTCCAGCGAATTATCCATCATCATCCATTGTACATCATGATTTTTCAATTGTTGACCACTATTAAGCTTTTTTAATCCCATTATTACCCATAGTATTGCCATTATTATCAATTATCATCCATGATTAATCCCATTATTATCCATATATGATTTCGCCATATTATTATCCATTGTCCATCATTATTCCCCCATAAACCTTAGTTCTTCGCCTGCGGATTCTCCACGGCATGGTGCCCCAAGGCCGCAGCCGCTTGAGCGAAGGCGACGAGGTCGGTGTCTTTGGAGGACTCCCACACCACCACCACGCAGGGAAAGGGCACCTGGCACAGCTGGCGTTGGAAAAGGCAGGTTTTGTAAGGACAACATGGTGATTTAAGGATAACATGGTGATGTTAGAGGGGCAACATGGTGATTTGGAGACAACATGTTCTTTTGGACGGCAAAATTGTGACTTTAGGAGACAACATGGTGATTTTAGAAGACCACATTATGACATTATGGTTTTAGGAGACAACATGATAATTTCGGAGGGCAACATGGTGACTTCATAAGGCAGAATGTTGATTCTATGACCATTGGATTTGGGGATACCTGTTTTCAGACACCATTTATGGAATATCACGGACTAGGATGTGGAGAAATGGCTGGAATAATATCCTACCAACAAATGATATGAAATGGTCATGGAAAATTTGGGGAGGTACAAAGTGATGCCCCAGCTTTTGGTGAGGCAAAACAGTTGAAACCAAGTAAAAGCAACAACTTTGTCTCAGAACTAAGACTGGAAGCCTCCGCACAGCGGAGGCAAAACCGAGTTGGTGACCCAGCTCTTGGAAATTAGCCTTTTTCTACAGTCATATGTCCACCAAAAACCCAACTGTTCAACTCATTAAAATCTCAGCTAACCAACAGTCATAAGTTGCCTCAAATCCCAACAGAAAAACCATGGTGGTGAAACAGAAATCCCATGGGCAAAGTCCACAAGCTGTACAAACAAACAGCCCTAAATGGTAGACCCAATCTAGCCCAATCCACTCTCGTGTTTTTTCAAACAGAAAACAAAAAAACAATTTGCAGAAGATATACTATACTATAATAAGATGACCACGGTTAAGTCAACTTACAACATCGCATGCAGCGTTTATAACTATATCTTGGGGGCCCCATCCTGTACCCACACTTCTGCTGAAATCACAGTGTTACCCTCCGGTAATCAACCAGGGCTAGCTGGGAAATCCCTTACAAATGGTGGTTTCGTTCGCTGGGAACATCATCGAACTAAATGGTGGATTTTCCAGCAAACCACGTTTGATTGTGAGCGGGTATCCCCAATGGTCGGTTAAATCCAATGAAATCCCATATATTCAAACCCTACCTGGTATGAAATCCTGTGACATAACGATATGATCACCGATGCCGTCGACTAGTGGCGAAAAAACATGTCGGTAGATATTGACCTTGCCTCACAAACATGGGAAACTTAACCAACAAAAATCAATCAACATAAGACGATGAAACAAGATATTGAAGTCAAACTTGGGTGCCCAATCATTAGATGCTTAGTATTAAACATCATTAAAAAATCATTAAACATCTGCTAAAATCCGTGGGTTTTCTGGGCCTTTAATTTTGACTCATGCCCATACCCTCGTATGGATGTTTGGATACAGCCTGCAATACCCTCTGGTACTTTCAAATAGCTATTGAAAATACCCCGTGTATAGTCGATTTACTACAATGTGCCCCCCCAGTTATAAGTTGCTCTATAAACACCCGTAAGTATAGTTCTTTCCGTACCATAAACCATAGTGAAACTGGAGTTATAAACTCACTGACTTAGCTATGGTTAAACATGGTGATTTTCCACTTCGCAGTAGTGAATTCCACCACCGTTCCTGACCTTGGCGCCGGCTCGTTCCTTGGCTTCCACCGCCACGTACTTCCGCACCGGCAACGTTGCGGCGCGCGGATTCGTTAAGGTCACCCTCAACGTGCCCTGCAGATTCTCCGAGTCGCGGAGGAGGAATGGAATTTTACACAGTTCATGGATGATGATCCCATACCCTCTGATTATGTCAAAATAGCTATTGACCATGATTTATCCATAGGAAAATGGTGATTTCATGGGATTTATAGCTGATTTAACATAGCTATTGAACACGGCCCAACTAACAGTTATTTTTATGGGACTATAATGAAATATAATGTCAGTCATAGGAGTTATTTCATCCCATTTATAACTGTTAGTTGGGCCATAACTGTTCATGGATGATGATCCCATACCCTCTGGTTATGTCAAAATAGCTATTGAACATGGCCCAGTCGAAATAGTTGATTTACCCATTAAAAACACGGTGATTTCATGGTGATTTTCCATAGTTATGTAAACGTTTACCAGAGGGTATATCCCATAAATATTTGGTGCATCCCATGAATATAAAATTTGATATAACTCCCAGATTTCTTCATCCATCAACCAATATTGGCAGCCGCTGTTCACATGCTGCAAGGGGCATGGTGAAGAGGGGAATCATGGAATCCAAATTGTTATCCCCTTGGGATTGATGACCATATATGACCATCACCCAATGTGGGCATTATCATCCCAGTATAATAGAATATAATAGATAATCGATATGTTGCACATGTACAAGAAGAATTGCGGTTTCCTAACATAGGGGTACCCCTAGTTATCATCCATTTTAATGGGATTTTCCATTGTAAACTGTAAACATCCATTTTGGGGTACCTTCATTTATGGAAACCCCCATATTATAGTATATACAATATACAGTATATCAGTATTTACATAATAAACATGAATATATACTATCCTCATACTATTCATAAGTATAATATATCTATAGTATTATATGGGTGATACTATCCATAATATGGACACCCCCATTGGACATGTTTTTCAAGACCTTCCCATTGAATCCCAGGACATTTCTCCGGGCAGAGCGAAAAATAACGGGGCTTTCCAATGGGGATATCCCAATAGCTGGATGGTTAATGGACAATCCCACTAAAATGAATGATTTAGGGGTACCACCATTTTAGGAAACCCCTTTTTTTAAGGATTGTCCATCCAACATTCCCAACTAAAGACATGGATTGGCTATGTTCGTGCTTGATCTGCCCACCTTTCGGGCGGTCCCGGCCTGGTGGTTGTAGTGCTTCACATGTCGCCGCAGCAAGGTCTCCTTGCAGCAGCTGCTGTTGAAGCTCGGCACCAGCGCAGGCCCGTCCAGTTGGACCTTGACAGGGGGATCACAGCACTCCTGGGGTGGGTGCATGGCAACTGGGATTTACAACATTTGTATTACGTAATATCAGTTTGGCTCTTCTTGGGAAACCACCAAAAGTCGGTTGATCATGATGTTCCCTCTGAAACATGGCAATGTTTGGGCATTCCAGTTTGTGGACAAACCCTACTGGTTGGTTGTGCAATAACCATCTTGAAACATATGAGTTCGTCAATGCGAAGGATGACATCCCATATATTATGGAAAATAAACATGTGTGAAACCACCAACAAATATCTGAGGTTCCAGACCTGGGCGTATAATTCTGGTGGATATGATTGGTGGATTGTAACTCAGCTACGAATCAGTTAACTAATCCCGTGCCACGTCTATGGGTCAAGATCTTGGGAAGCTAGTGACCATCACAAACATGCAATGTGGGCCCCCCCAGTTATAAGTTGGTTTATAAGCCCCAGTGACTATAGTTATAAGTACCATAAACCATAGTTATTGGAGTTATAAACCAACTGAACGCTATCTTGGGGGCAACACCTTGTGTTGCCAGCATAAATATGTCGTGGCGTGGAGCTACCCATGCTTACCAAGTTGGGTGGGCCATATGGCTGCATCAAAACCCCAACGTGATAGAGATGTTTCCTACAAACACGTTTCTAGAACAAATCCGGTATGGCAACTTCTGTGATAGCCTCTGGTAAACCAACCTAGTCTCAAACAATCACCATTTTTTTCATGGATCAGTCATTGATCAATCATCTACAAATGGTCCATCTACACATATCTACACCAGAGCTATGTTAGTTTACCACATTTCAGTCCCAGGAACATGGACCGTGATGGCCAAGGGCCCGCGTTTCATGGGTGTGTTGGGAATGGGCAAACCTTCGCCTTCCAAGATGAAGGTGATGTTGCAGGCCTTACCTTAGTGACACCCCTCTTTCCAACGGAGTGACCACCCTTGCCTCATTCGGGTTTCCCATGGGAAAAATCACCGAACATCTTGGAAAACCCATGGGGAAACCGATGGGAAATCCCTGGAAGCAATTGCCATCAAGATGAGGTACAATGACTCTACAGATATGGCCCAACTAACAGTTATAAATGGGATTGTAACTCCTGTAACTGAGGTTATATATATATATATCATTATAGTCCCATTTATAACTTTTAAGGGCCATCACTGTATAGACCCTATGTATGTATAATAAGTATAAGGGGTGCTAGTCCATTTGCATGCTATACGCTAACTTGGGTTCATCGAAGCACAATGACCCAGTCAAGCCATAGTTGCTCCAACGCGGGGAACAACGGTCAGCCCAATAGTGCATCCTGTAAAAAAAAATCAGCCAAATGGATTACTTGGATGGGCGATGGAGCTAGCTAATGGGTTGCTATGCTAAACCCTGAAAAGAAACATAATATAACTCGGCGCGTTACGTGGGTTATCACCCACCTACAATGTGGGGCCCCCCACTTATAAATTGGTTTATAAACCCCAGTAAGTATAGACCCCATTGTATATTAATATATAGTTATTTCATGTTATTTCTGTACCATAGTTATTGGAGTTAGTTTCACTGACTTTGCTCTCGTTTACGGGGGCCCACTTTGTACCACTTAACTAATCCCCATGGTCAATCTACAGCTCGCTCCAAGGCACTGGGTGCTAAGTCCAGCAAGGGATTTCTGAAGCGCAACAGCACCATGGAACCCTGGGAATTTCTGCGGCGGGGCAGGGAGGCACATCATCAAGATGTGATGCTTCCCTGATTTCAAAGTGTCTTCAAATGTTGGTTTCTAGACTTTACAAGCAAACGCACCCACCTACTTCACTATGGGACACCCCTTTTTGTGGTTCACGAAGATACTAAGTCAATCTTTAAGTCATGTCATCCCACCACCTAAGTTTTTTTAAACCACAAAGATATAGGAGAGTTGTCTATGGGCTCCCAAAAGTTGGTGGATTGTGTGTCAGCTGTCGCCCAGAAATGGACCTTCATCAATGTCCCGGAGCTCTTGGCTGCACGCCGCGCCCAGCCCACCGATTGCACCAGCCACGACCTTTCTGTTTGCGTGTTCTCAGGTCGTGGGCGGCCCCGCATCGTGTAACTGAGATTGAAGGCCGCCAGGAGCTCTTCTGGCGTACGTTTGCTCTTCTTCATACAGGACCCAGTCCTTTGATGGGAAGGCCAGTGATCTTCCGGTGGGAGCCAACGCTGTGCTTCCCAGTTGTCCCCGGCTCAAAGTCACGCTAATGTTTCTCCGTCTGGCAAAGACCAAGTCAGTTGTTCACTTGTGAAAAGAGATGGTCCATCGCGGTAGTGAGATTCAACCAATCCTAAGCCAAACGTCACAGTAGGCTTGAGGACAACGTTGGTTCTTTCACAGAACGATGTGTCCAGAGAAGATCTTGTAGCGTAATTAGCGACTTGTGCGTGTGCAAGTGGTGATGTCGGCCACTCAATGAAGACATCAAAGAAGGACGTTACAACCCCATCCCCAAGAAGGCAGAAAAGTGCTAAAACACCCGTGTCTTGATAGGTGGCGCGTTTGCAAAAACAGGGACGAGAACAGGATGATGGCCACTCCAAACGACCGAGTAGTGGAAGACCAGAAATCCTATGGTTGATGGAACCCCCCAGTTATAAGTTGGTTTATAAACCCCATTAACTATACTTATAGGTACCATAAACCACAGTTATTGGAGTTATAAACCAACTGAACGCTATCTTGCGGGTCCCACATTGTATGGTTGATGGAACCCCCAAAGATATCCAAATATCAAAGCGAGCTTCCCTTCCAGGCACATCTAACATCTACCACGACTCATTCTTAGCTGGCCATCAGTCATACTTGGACCTGCACTGTTTCAATTTGTAACCCTGTGACGACCTATCATTCACATTGTGGTTTGCCGAGAAAACCCAACGGCCTTGAAGGCAATCCCAAACAGCAACCAAACAAACAAGCTGACGCACCCAACTATCTTCTTGTTGATTATAATATCCACCTAGGTTCCCATAGATAAGACAGGTCTTATACCCACATAGTTAGTGGTTAAAATCCCTACAATGTAGGGCCCCCCAGTTATGTTTGTTGCTTTAGCATTGAATCCCAAGACTTTAATGAACGAGAAAAAATGCCACGGAAATCTCCCTCCGTGAAATCACCCTCACTTCGGCCTTGAAATCCCGTGAGTTTCCACCAAAACTTTCGTTGCTGAACTCCCAGCTGTTTGCTGGAGAAATCCCCGATGATTGCTGCTTAACTGAGTTAACTGCCATTCAATCCCAAGTTACGTTGCTGAAACCCACGAATATCAACACATATCCCAAACATATACAATGTGAGGGCCTCAAACGATAGCTAAGTTGACGCAAAAAACTTGGTTAACTAGGGTTTATGGGAAATGTACATGTCGCATTCATGGGGTTTTCACCTAAACCAACAAAGATCACTGAGGGCGGCTCACTACCCTCTAATATCCACCAAGATCAACTCTATTATTCCAATGTTTTTCCCAAATATCTCCCCAAACATATATACTGGTTGGTGGTATACCTACCCCTCTGAAAAATATGAAAGTCAAATGGAAGTATTATTCCCAACATTATATGGAAAAATGAACATGTTCCAAACCACCAACCAATATAACATTATCTAGCCATATGTTACCCTCCCCAAATACATCAAGCTTGTCGCTCGTGCATTTGTCTGCAAGGTAAACCGTTGCCCCGGCAATGCTGTGGTCAACTGGCGAAAAAAAATACTAACTGGTTAGTAACTGGGGATATAACCCTCTATATCCCAATTATATCCATTTACTAAGTAGTTAACTAACTCCATGGCCCATCTACTCGCCCAAATTTCTGCTTCTCCACATCCCAGCCCTCCCCCCGGCCGCCTTGAAGGTAGGCGACCACACTGCCAGCGTCGCTTGCGTCGCCTTGGCCCGTGCCTGCAGTGGCACCGCCAACTGCAGTGCGCCGTCGCGGCCGCCCTCGGCTTGCCGGAGGAAGGCGTGAGCCTTGCGGCAGGCCATGTTTTTGGGGGAAACGTTTGAACCAAGAAATGGGGGTATGGAAATTCCTTATCAACAATCTGCGATGTTGAAAAGTACTCGGATGGGCGTTTTGGTTGGTACTTATGATGGCGAAATGGGGAATTCAGCCATCAAAGATAATGGTATAATGGGCTGTGAGGGTAGTTCAATGTTAATTGGTTAAGTGGTAAGATCCCATTCAATACGAATGGGATATATCACAGTTACTAGCCACGAAACATCACGAAACTAACTCCAGTGCCAATGTACCGTCCGCGGGGAACTAGAATTTTCATCATTTGAAGAACATGTTAGAACGTTGTGCTTCTGTGAGTTGAAGAGTTGAAACAACAAATAGTGGGATTTCACAAAAACGAAAACTATAACCATCCTTGCTGGAATATCGTGAGGCACACAACCAACAACTAGCTTGGAACGGGTGATTTTGCAACTCCAAGGTTCCACCAATGGACGTTGCGCAACAAACATCAACTGGGTTTGTACTGGATATGAAAGTTAGCACTTACCTAACTAAGAAGGTGACCTTCATACAAATGACGAACATTTGGCCGTAAGCTGCTGCAGGTAGTCTTTCATTTCAACCGCCTTCATCAAACATGCTCTTTTCCGTTTCCCCACTGTTTCAAGTCGCAACCACGTTTTTTGAAGCTGGCAGCTTTGAACATCCCAATTCCCAACAGTTGGTTTTGTGAACCCAAGGTGAGCCCCCCCAGTGATGCGCGTTGTTGGTAAAGCCCATTAGCATTATATCCCCCAACAAATCCAACAGTTAACCCAGTATGCGCCAACATATCGCTATCATAAACCAGCTTTCAAAAATCCCACTAAATCCCGTGTTTCTGGGTGAAATTGACAAGTTCCTAATCATTTTCTATGGTTTCCTAAGCTCAACAGTTGGACCTCCCCTGGTCGTGCCTTGTGGCGAAAGCTCACCACCAAGTCCCCCGGTGACACGTTGAAGCTGGGCCAATGCCCGTCGCCCGGCAGGCGATATTCCGTGCCATCCGCCTGGCTGGGCATAGCCTCTAAAAATGGCTGAATATACCAGCCCCATGGAGCATATGGGGAATCACACAAAAACATTCTTATATATATATATAATTACATATATATATATATTGGGATTCTAATTCGACCCATTTTAGATTGAAATTAGCACAGTTGGCTTAGAAGCATGACTAGGTAAACGGTAAACTGTTTGGTCATGGTAGATATTGAACTAGTTGATGGTGTGTAAAAAACAACTTATGAATGGGAGGCATCGCCTTGTATGAGACTGTCACCCAGTTTGGTAGCAACAAATGGTTTCCTATATGGGTTCATGGACGGGTTTCTGGGTGCATCTATAGTCCTAGCAGGTTGAACATGTAACAACCAAAGAACAATGTCGCCACAAGATGGTGCCCCCCAGTCGATAGCGTTCAGTTGGTGAACATAACTCTAATTTCACGTTTGGACTTATGGTAGATATATCGAACTAGTTGCCATGGGATTGTAAACCAACGTTCACATAACTTGGGGGGCACCCCCTTTCAGGAACCTGGAACAAGATCTTGGAGATGTGTTAGAGATACATTCAAGACATTTTTGTTGGATATGTTCATGACATGCCGGGGAGATTTTTGGCCCACGATGCTCTCGACACAACGGGTAAACACCCCAATTTTTCATGGGGATCATGGAAAATAACCACTTTTTGGAAATCAGCATGCGTGGCTTGATATTGGTAAAATAACAATATTCAACATGTCCTAGTCTTCATGTTCAATCCATATTTTGCTGGAGCAACGTATATCTTCATATTCAATATTCATAATATATATATATACATTCGTAATTGCACAGAAATCAATGTACATAATTCAACGAATGTAACATATATATATATATTTAAAACTATCACATAGGATCACTATAATCACAATATACATTATACATGCATAATAATGCATAATATAAATATAAATATAAATATATATATATCATTCATGACATCTCACTGATCATTCCATACAACTTCTGTATCTCCAAACAATCGCAGTCAAAAAAACCCTTAACTTCCAGCGTTTTCCAGCGTTTTCCGGCGCCTGCCCAGGGTCGATTTGGATGTTCACGGTCTTCAGAGTTTGACTCGTGCCTCCAAAGGCGCGCTGCATCCGGTCCCGTTTGACCTCGCGGATCTTCAGGCCTCCTCCACAAAAGGGCTGATGGCGGCGAGTCAACGAGTTCGACATAGTAACCAAAAAAAGGGGGTAGCTGTATATGTATATATATATATATCCCATAGGATCCATGTATGGTATATATGCTAACATAAAGGGGGTATATTGATGGTAAATGTTACCATATATAGCATACATGGATCCTATGGGTATATATATATATATAACCAACCTAGCTATTCTCAAACTCAAATAACTATGATTATCTATCAATTATAATAATTATAAATCCCTTCATATTTGTTGGCTAGATACCCAACAAATATACTCGGTGTATCGTTAATATCTACCTACATTTGGCCATTGTTAGAGATAGATCTTGGTAAAGCTTCTGACTCATCTGGCTCCGAAGCCAAGATGCCAAGATGGACCATGGGGGTACAGTTTTTTTTAATAACAAAAATACAAAAATCTCCAGAGTTTTGTTCAGAACTTGATGGTTTACAACTGTAAAAAACTAGTGAATCATCAAGAAATCATACTTTTTATGATGTTCCGCCAGTCTACCTTGGTTTTCGGTCCCGATGGAGAACAAAAACACTCATTGTCCCTACTTTTTATGGTGCTCCAATCTAACCGAATTGTAGCGAACTTGACAACTTAAGAGTTATGTACATAAGAAACCAAGACAAGTACAAGGCCCGTCAGACACCGTTTAAAGTATAATTTTGGAGTCACAAAACTCAGTAAATACTGTATCAGATTTTCGCTTTTGTTTTTTCTGCCATGCTCACAAGTCAATTCCAGGTACCTATCCATATACACATATATATAATATGTATTTATAATATATTATATATATAAATATATAATATTATATATATAATACATATGTTTTGGTGATGAAATCCCAAAAATCATGGTTTCTTTGCTCACAAAATGAGGAACCTAACCCGCGACCCATGAAATCACCCTCTGTTTCATGGTGAGGCCCCAATAAGTTCTATATATTGGGATAGTTGAAATATGGTGGTATACCACTAATATGGCGGTCATATGATGTTTATATTATTTTATATTGGGATAGATATCATATGGATACCGTATTATCATTTATCATCTATATAATTATAGATGTATCATACAAGGTGGTGCCCCCAAGATAGCTAAGTTGGTGAACATAACTCTAACTAGGACTTATTGTAGATATATCATGATATATCTATAGTTAATGGGATTATAAACCAACTTATAACTTGGGGGGCACCACCTTGTATTAAATGTATTAATTCATATATGGTTATATCAATCCCATAAAAAAAAAACAGCGCAATATAATTCGGTGTTCATCGGTTTTCATCCCAAAAATGGTTCCCTCCAGCGCGGCCGCGATGCCGCGATGCCGCGATGCCCCGCCTCGCAGGGCCTTCTCCAGGGAGATCTTCACCTCCAGCCGTAGATCCCCGGCCTTCGGCAGCTTCGTGGCTTTGGTCGGCAGCTTCGCCTGGGACGTGGCGCGAAACAATGGAGGCCTTGGGATGGAGAAAGTCAAGGAGCTTAGAAGGGGTTTGGATCTCTTTGGAAATGTTTAGAATGGCTTTAGAGTGTTTATTTAGACTTTGGAAAACTGTGTTTTTGAATGTTTTGAATGGGCTTTAGACTATAAGATCTATATAAGTTGATTGGAATTCCCAACAAGAACCCAGCCAACTGGACATGTCGAAGCCACCAATCTGGGGCTTGCTATACTCATTGGGTCGCCATAGTCCAGGTGCCATGGAGGGATTGATCGTATCAAGTGCCAAGAAAAATATGAAGATTGCTACTTAAGGTGGTGCCCCCGGTCGAGCTCGCGTTCAGTTGGGGTTCACATAACTCTATCATTTCACGTTTGGACTTATGGTTGATATATCGAACTAGTTAATGGGAGTATAAACCAACTTATAACTTGCGGGGCACCAACTTGTTAGGAACACACAACTGACAAAAGATCAAATGGCAGGACCTCCCCTGCATTTGCTAAAAGCACGGTGTCTTACAGATCTCACTCATCTACCCTCACTGGACGGTGATGCCTATGTCCTATGTCTTTTCTCGCAAAGTGCCTGCAATTCGATGTTCAGCGTCCAAGAGAGCGGCCCAAAGGCATCCGTGCAATCTGGGCTGGGTCAGGGATCACAGAGCCTCCACATTCGGCTGCATCCGTGACAAGAAAATCATGAGATGCAAAAAGCTGATGATGGGCTCGACATTGCTCGTCTGTGCATATTCTGCACGTTTTGTGCTTGTTCAGCACAATCAGCACCTTTTGGCTGAACGCAAGCATTGGCAAGCATGCAAAAGATACAATATGGGGCCACCAAGACAGCCAAGTTGGCCTATAGCTCCAAAAGCTACAGTTTATGATACATATGATTTGATACTTACCACAACTTGGAACTGGGAGGCCCCACATTGTAGAAGATCTGCCAGAACTGCAATTAAGAGTTCCAGATCTTTGGAGACAATTGCTCGAAGAGCTGCGAATGCTCATTGTTCACTCACAGCTCTCCCGATATGCAAAAAAAGATCCCATAGAAATCTATACCCTCTTCGAACTTTTCTGGTTGGAGCGAAAGGTTCGGGGTCCCTGAGACTGTGATTTGCTTCCCCCAAGCCCCACCCAAACGCCAGCCGTGGAGGCCCCCTTTGCGCGAGACGCCCTATCTGCGGAGCCCGTTGCTTGGGGCGGGGGGACGAAGCTGGTGCGTTCATTCACCAAGGGCATCTGGCTCTGCAGTGCCTGGCTTTGCGCCTCAATCATCAGTAACTGCACACACTGAAGTTCGAGTTGTAGTCGTTCCTCAATGATTTTGGGGGAAGAACCGGAAAAAAATCACATAGGCAGGTTGGGTGGTTCATGCCAAATGCACCATGAACACATTGGCAAAATTGAAGATGGTTGGTGGTTTTGTGAGCTCGACTTTCGGTACAACATCCAGGAAAAACACCATTCTCCCAGGTAGACAGTTAGGATCACCATCCCGAACTTCCACCAACCAAAAACTATAAAACCACCTGTTGAAATCACCGACTTCTAGGAGTATAGAAATATGTTTCTATTTCTGCCCTGAAATTTACCAATTTACCCAACTTCTGGTGTTAGAAATCACCAACAGAAAAGAAATAGAAACATACAGAAACAACACGCCTAGGTTCCAGTTCTTGTAGCTGTTGCAACTGCGTTACTTCGTGAAGCGACACGAATGACTCGGATGCTGTGATCATGGGGTTAAAAGGCCTTGGATGTGCGAAGGACAATTCATTGACCCCCCCAAAAAAATGCATTTCACTTGGTGCCTCATCCCACTTACGTAAATTATTACCCTCACAGGTGGGTTAACCCATTCATTGTCCCAGCTGTAAGCAGGGATATAACCGACTTAGTAGATTCGGAAAACAATGGAGATATACGGGTGTATATATATATACATGTTTTTATGGGGTACATACAATGGTGAAAAAATTGGGGATTTCTTTGGCGATCCCCCGGCTGTTTGTCCATCAAGTGGATGGATAGGCCCCAAGTGTGGGATGAACCATTGGAAAAAAAAGAAATCATTGGATAGATGGCCCAACTAACAGTTACAAGGTCGTGCCGCCAAGATAGCTAAGTTGGTTTATAACTCTAATAACTAGGACTTATGGTTGATATATCTATAGTTAATGGGATTATAAACCAACTTATAACTTGCGGGGCACGACCTTGTATATAACCTCAGTTATAGGAGTTATATTTCATCCCATTTATAACTGTGAGTTGGGCCAAAACTGTGAATAGATTGCCCAAATGTGTTAACCACTGGAAAGCAAAAGAAACAAACCGAAATCGTCAGAAAATCCAGGAGACGCATACATGGGATGGTCAGCCCTCATGGACATCACTTAGCTCGGTCTGCGGGCGTCCTCAAAATGTCTCCAGCCAACGGCTGCGAATGTGAAACCGACAACCGATGCTGCTTCAGGAATTGAACTCTTGTGGATGTAAACTTGATAAGCACGAACTCACACCAATCCTAGTCCTGGGCTTCCAATAGAGGGGTAGACACCGTCACGTTCTACTATATAATACTCCCATTTATGACAGAATCCCAGAGCAAAACTATGATGCAGCCAAAAATATGCGTTGTAGGCAAGAGAAGAATCTGTCATTCTGAGCATGCTGCAATAATTTCTAGACTGGAAATAGCCATGATTCTTGGGATGATCCTCCACATTCTGGTGAGGTCCTTATAGTACACCTAGATCATCCATGACAAAAACACTTTGAACTGGGCAGTGGCACAATTTTGCAGATCATAGCATCAGTTCCAACTATTTTAATGTAATATGATGGCTCACGTTTTGACATCATAACAAGTTGATAACTAGTCATAAAAATCTAATATAGTATATCAGTATACCATCGCTGTATGCGATTCCGAAAAAAAAAAGTGGATCTGCAATATACCCTACAGCTCCAAACACCGACAGTAGGACTGTATACAAGGAGTTTTTTTTGTTGGGGTCCTTTTCACCTTCTCAGAGGGTATAACTGGAGCACTAGGTATGTGGATGCATGGGATTCACATGTGACTCTCATCTCTGAAATCCCACTCATGAGAATCCCATTCAACATTCCATGGGATAATATCATATATCATATATTATATAAGATCATGGGATTCTCAAAGATCTTCATCTCTCTCTTTCAGAAGCTTCCCTACCGGGCCTTGCCACCTTCCTTCCCCTCTGCCTCAATTCGTTTCGGCGCTGTGCAGCCAGCAAAATGGTGGATTTTACTGGTGATTCTGGTGGACCTATGGCGAAGATGGCCAAAAAACATGCGATTTCACCCATATGTCGCATGATTTGATGGGCCGTGAAATCTAAAAGGCATGGTCCACCATGGTCCAAAGAACTTTAAAGAGGTCATATCTTAGTATCAATTGTCGTTTCTGGGTGTTTACATTCGATACCCATAGGATCCATGGTGCTGGTACATATGCTAACATAAAGGGGGTATATGGATGGGATCCATGTTACCATATATAGCAGCACCATGGATCCTATGGGATATACTGCCAGCGCATCTTTTTTCACAGTCCTCTCACGATCCACTCCTTCCAGGACCATCTCTACGAACTGGCTATGAGATTAAAGACCATCCCGCTGTTCGCTCATGACAATAATTACCAAAGATGTTGGATAGCCCATTTATCAAGCATCAACCAACAGGGCTACTATTTGTGCTATAACCATAATACACACATACACATATCTATAAATATATATTATATAATCATATAAAATCATATAAATATGTTAACCATGGTTAACCGTTAAACAAATCATCCACCAAATCTTCAACATCATGTATCACCATGCTCATCCTGACCCGGAGCTGCTGCCGAGCTTCGGCTCCACCCCAACGACCCCAGAAGTTGCTGTCGGTGTTGGTCTTCTGGGAATAGAAGGAGGAGTTCATCCCCTGCAACGTGACAAAAACCGTGGATCCTGGGATGAAATTGATGAGATTTTGGGATTTTTATGGGATGACTATGGGATGATGATGGGATTTTTATGGGATGCTTCATCCGACACAGCCGGTAGACGAGTTTGCGGTTAGTTACAACTCCAATTTAAAGTGCGTACAGCACCCCTATCTACTTCTCCTGCCTTCCGAAGTCTTAAGTTAGCAAGGCCCATCACCGTGTTGGCATTGATGGCTGGGGATGGATTCAGACCATTCAGAGTCACCATCACCGATATCTGGAATCCATGAGGAATCAGTCAGCTGAATCAACTGAGGCCGCCAAGGAGGGGTGCCTCTCTACTCTCTGCGAACTTCATCAGAATCGCAAATTCTCATTCCGAGATATTCCGAGCAGGTCCGAGCAAGTCCAGATCCCCAAAAGAGCCATTAAAAAACTATCCCATCTCACTTCACTATACTAGTGGGTTGATAGGTTTCCGTACTCTGGGTTGTATCCGTTATTTTCAATGATTTTCCATTATAAACGTAAACATACATAATAAACCAGTATTAACTTAACACAACTTAACCACTATGAACCAGTATCAACCATTTTGAATTCCATATTAGCTACTCAACCAACATATGAACCACTATCATCAAGTAGTAATTAGCTTTTATGTTCCATTCTATCAACCATTATTTCACCGTTCTTCATCATTATTTGCCATTCTTAACCGTTATTAAATAACCATTATTGACAAGTATTAACCACATAAACCATATAAATTGCCAAATGGCCATTATGATTAATCTCAACCACTATTATTAGTATTAATGCCAGTAGTTTACTATGAACAATACCATATGGTTATTTAGCATAGCCATGGCCATAGAAATAGATGCTTTACCGTTCTTAAAAATGGGTGGATCTTTCCATGGCGAACTGTTAGTCATAACCAGATGGTATATCATATATCATATGTTAAATAACCAGATGGTATATCATAACCAGAGGGTAACCGTTTCCAATGGTACCCTCCAGTAAATTAACATAGACCCTGGCAGTCATCGGGATTGGAAGATTAGTTTCCTCTAGAAAATGGGTGATTTTCAGGGTCCAACTGTTAATTTACCAGAGGGTATATCCACATCAATCCCATTAAATCACCATTAAATCACCATTCAATCACCATCAAATCACCATTCAATCACCATTCAATCACCATTTATAGGTGATGTCCCATATTTTCCTATGGTTTCTTCCTAGAAAAATACGTGGAAAACCCAAATCACCATCAAATCAACATTCAATCACCATTAAATCACCATTTGTAGGTGATGTCCCATATTTTCCTATGGTTTCTTGCTAGAAAAATACGTGGAAAACCCAAATCACCATCAAATCACCATTCAATCACCATTAAATCACCATTCAATCACCATTAAGTCACCATTTATAGGTGATGTCCCATATTTTCCTATGGTTTCTTGCTAGAAAAATACGTGGAAAACCCAAATCACCATCAAATCACCATTCAATCACCATTTATAGGTGATGTCCCATATTTTCCTATGGTTTCTTGCTAGAAAAATACGTGGAAAACCCACATCACCATCAAATCACCATTCAATCACCATTAAATCACCATTTATTGGGGTTATTTTCCAACATTCACATCATTGGGCCTTGGTTTCCCATTGGAGAACCATTTTTATCCCTTCGCCGGTCGCCCAAATCGGACCTGCGACTTGGCGCGTGCTTCGTCGAAGCGTGCGCGGTCGTACTGCCGCCGTGTGGCCCGGTCCGAGAGGATCCTGGGGTGATCGCCATGGGATCTCTCTGGAGTTATGGCCATTTATCAGTTATAACTGGTTATTTCAGTGGGATTATACATTCTATAAATGGGGTTTTCTTAGTACTTATAACTGGTATTTCGGGCCATAACTGTGGAGATTTCATGTGGCCCAACGAACAGTTGTCTTTATGGGATTATAATATAGTATTTCATGATATATAACCAACCAGTTCTAGGAGTTATATATATATATATCATCCCATTAATTTATAACTGTTAGTTGGTCCATAACTGTAGATATTTTTTAATGAATTGAATGAAATTTAATGACGATTTAATCGGATTAATGGTGATTTAATGATGATTTCCATGGGATTTCATGAATTTAAAGGGAGTTCATGGTGATTTACTGGGGATTGAATGGGATTTCATATGTATATATATGATTATATATGGTGCATGGAAATCATAATGGATTGATAAACCAACTTATCATGGGGATAATGGAGTATCTGTAGGTAAGCCTTTGGTGAATAGTTGGAATGGTTGGTTCCATGGTTGGTTCCATCTGACATTTTTCAGCACGGGATATGAAGCAGCATGGAGAGATGGCCAGCTTTCGATGGAAACATTCGACTTCATGGCAGCATGGCAGCATGGCCATAAATCACGTGATTGAATCTTCATAGGTCGCCAACCTGAAGTATCATGAAATGCTGCCATTTGGAGATAATTCTCCTTCATCATTCCAGTGACAAAAAAGAGAGGTCGCTACAATCAATAGATTGACTATGAAGCGGCTGTGCGTCAAGGATAACGTAAGTTCAGTGTGCTCAGGATCCAATCAGTACCAGCCAGAAGTCCACCGGGTGATCGACTTGGTTAATACAACACCTGCGTTTTTTGGCGCTTTGCGGCGCTTGGTAAAAACCTGCCACAGAGAAAACCCTCAGTTCATATGAAAAACATGTGTGTATAGATACTATAGGAAAATCGTCAACATAAATCAGATTTTTTCCAGCATACAAGCTTAGGCTACCAAAGGGTTACTCCATTTGACGATCAAACATAGCTTCTGAACAATTCCCGTATTTGTAGATGATTTTCCCGGCTATAAACCTCCAGTTTGTGGATTTCAAACTAGCCATGTGTGATACGTAGATTTTTTGTCCCATGACATTCCCATGAAATGGTGGGTGAAATCCTATGACCATCACTTGAGGGTTCTTCTCATCAGCTGAGAAAAGATCTTTTGCCATGGCCAAATCCATCGCCAAGTCTCTCGTATGCCTCCTGGATCTTTTCAAATTCATCCTCATGCAGCGAAGGAAAATCTTCAACGCAGGGAGATTCTTTGAGTCCGGCAAATTTCAAGGTAATAACTATAGCAGCATAACTGAGGTGACAAACTAAACTTGAATAGATTTGAGATAAACAAGTAAAATACGTGTGATAACCAGCTAGGCTTTGAGTTTACAAACCAACAAATACAACTGGGGGGCACTACCTTGCAGCTTTGCCCAACCAAGGTTCACACCCAACTGATCATCCCAATGTTTATCCCAAATGACGCCACTTGTGAATGCCCAATTCTTGGGGTCATCAATCAATGTTTATCCCATGGTCAATCTCGTCAATCTACATACCCTCTGGTAAACATACAAAAAGCTATTGAAAATTGCCATTTATAGTGAGTTTTCCCATTACACATGGTGATTTTCCATAGTTGTTTGTATGTTTACCAGAGGGTAGTCATTCCATATGTTTGGATGTCATCTACATGGTCAATTATAGCGAATGGAGGGTATGACTATAGTTGGTGGCTTTAATGGAGGATATGACTATAGTTGGTGGGTTTATAAGCCAGCAAACATAACTGGGAGACGTCACCTTGTACCTTCTTAATTATTGTATATGTGTGTTTGTTTGCAATCGCATTGGTAAATGTCAACATGTCAACAGGGATCTGGCGTAGAAATGGCTTACCCTAGGACCACATAGATTTTTGTCATTTGCACTATAAAAACCCAGCCAGAACCAGGGGTCAATAATTTTCAGCCATTTCCAAAACAATCCAACGCCCTCTCTTTGGGCACAATACATTTTGACCATTGTTTGAACCATGCTCTGGGCGTGATACAGAACAGTGGTCCTGCATTTCCCGCAACTTGTCTGGCTTCTTGTCTCTGTTCTTGTCCTCGGCAAGCAAACCCAGCAGTATCCGACCCAGCTGCAGAACGAGTTGATTTTGAGTGAGTGGAACATCACAGCTTTCATTAAGCCTGGCAAAAACATAGAATATAGCAACCCCCAAAAGATCGAAAAGCAAGAAATCTGGAAATATGAAGTGCAAATATAATCTACAACATCCTTGAAAGATTTTTCTATCTTTTTGGGGATTGCCATATATAAGCCAGCGAGAAAAGGATAATTCACTGCCGTTGGTTTACCCCAAAATGGCGTATATGTACATGGGACAACCCACTGAATATGGATTGACTAACCTGGGTTACTAACCACTTACGAAGACGGGATGATCCGACACAAGGGCCGACACAAGGGTGGCCAGGGATGGCTTAGATTCTAAACCTGAAGTTGGGATATGGGGCCCCTATAAGTATAGTTATATCACTGATATAGCATTATACAACCACTTATTGGTGGAACAGCACCTCCAAGTATGCTTATACCATATATATATATATACATATGGTCAGGCCCTCCCATGACCCCATCGTCTGACAAGAAAAGAAGAGGCTGGATTATGGATTGACATCCATCAATCACAGACCCAGTGTTAATTCTTTGATGGTAGACTGAGATTCAATTCATCATAAATCATCCATAAGGTGTATTCCAATTAGATATGGGGATTCATGCAATCCTGGTTCATGGGGATTAATCGCATCCGTCACACGTTGGAACGTTCGTTACGTAGCCATGTCGTCACAGAAACGTCTCACCGATGCAGGGCCTCGATCCCACAGTCTGGACCAAGGGACTGGATGATACTGCAAGGCGAGCTTTTTGTAAGCTCCTGAGGCAATCAGTGGCGAGCTCGGAAGCTCCAAATGCATCACAACTGGGGTGTCTGGAAATCCAACACATTTTCTGTAGTCAATGTGTTCGAGGGTCAAAAGTTGGATAACTGGCCATACTTGGGGATGGTCACGCCCCGGGATGTTGACCTCCCAGGATGGTACGATGACTCCGATGACCTCCCATGACCCCCATTCATCCCATCGAGCTTGACCATGGCACATGTGGTTTTGATAGTCCCAAAGACTGGCACAGGTCAAGATCACACATTCACAATCAAAAAAACTTGTTCCATAGCCAGGACAAAACAGGGACCAGCGCATTCATTCGAGAATGGATATGTCTGGGCTTAGTTCACAATTGAATTGTGTAAATTCTAAGTGAGCCCCGACTCACCAGTCACCTTTCAATCTCAAAAGCTCCTGCGTGGTTCAGAGCAGGATTACCAGTTTGTTGATGATACTAATTCGCCCACTGAACCAATTCGCCAGTTTCGCACAAACTCGTATTTCACCAACAAACAGGGGTCAACTGCAAATTGCTCAAGTACCTATGACGTTCCAACTGTCTTTGGTGGTTCCTGAAAATGGGGGACCTAGAAGCCAAAGGTTTTCCTGTCAGAAACAAGCATGTTTGGATGATTTGAGGGTCCTCCATTTTAAGAAACCACCATTTGTCCTTCTTAGGTCTGCAAATGCCTAGTGTAACATTTTGAACTGCTGAGTAAGTCAATGCCTCCGATTTTTTGCGATTGCTGGGTGGTCCAATCCTCTCAGACTGATATGAAAGGTAATCATTACATGATATGATATGATATGACCCATAGGATCCATGTATGCTATATATGGTAACATTTACCATCAATATACCCCCAATGTTAGCATATATACCATACATGGATCCTATGGGTGATATGATATGATATGACATGATATGATATGATATGATATGTAATCATTACATTGTAATGAGTGCAATGTTAAGGGAATCGATCTTTGCCTCTTTATCAAGCGAGAGTTGTCGCACCTCCATCGAGCCATTTACTTAGATTCGTACCACTTCATAATGAGACCAACAAGCCAACAAGCCAACGTTGGCGAACTAATTTCATGGCCCATCTATAGAGTAAGTACCCTTATGAAGATAGTCAATACAATCAATATACAATCAAAGAAACCAGTCAACCAGTAACCACTTAATTAATCCTTAGTGACTTAGCGATTGTACAAGCTCATAAAACTCATAAAATTTACCCTACCAGTGCCCCTTCGGCACGACCCAACCTGCTCCACGCTCCAAAGGTTGGCCTTGCACCACATCCCTTCGCGCCTTTGATGTCTTTGACGGAGGCAAAGTCATCCACGTCTAGGAGCTTGTAGTAATCTGCCTTCGTCCGGCGCTGATTTTGAAATTGCTACTCAACGGGATGCTGCTGTTCGATGCTTTTTGTTGGGATTCAACCGGGTTTAACATCTAAATGGTGATGCAATGTGACTCATTAGGATGTAAATTAGAAATTAACTAGTTTTAATGGGTGCTATATATGTATATATTTATATAAGAAGGGAATATATATATATATATATGTAATTATATATATAGTAGGGCATGATGTGATATAATTGTAATGTATTGCAATGTTACGCCCCAGTTTGTTAGCTTACTTGATTCTTTAGCTAGATTAATTGTTGGCTTTATGGTGGATATATCTGCAGTAACTGGGGTTTATCAACCGAGGTTTCCTCCGGTTTCCTGGCAACAAACGGATCTGGCGAAGCAGCGCACGCCTTTTTGGGCGGGGCTAAGTACTGGGTCCACTGGATCTCTCTAGTTTGGCCAGCGCAGCCGAAGCGTGGGGCAATTTTGTAGTGCGCCGGGCTTGGTGGTGACATGGCACTGCCCAGTCAATCCAAGGCATCACCTGTGCACGAACACCTTTGCTGAGATTGAGAACTCTACTTAGATGGGCCATGGGATTAACTAACTGATTAGTAAACAGAACGGCCCCTCATGGGGGAGTGATTTTTGCTCTAAAAATAGTCAAAAATACTGGTATTTACAGTGTTTTGTGACCAAAGTGGGATTAAAACCGTTATTTTAGAGCAAAAAATAGAGTTCACCTCCAAAGGCTCTCATATGCTGTCATAAATCACTGGCATTTACAGACTCTTGTGGCAGGATTCAATTTTTCCTGTGAGGCTTGCAAAGAACTACAAACAATCAGCACATAACAGAAAACATCTGCTGCACAACATGCCATAAGAATGGGTAGCTGCACATCTTGGAACAGAATATACAGTAGCAATAGGTGACTAGTGTGATGGAGGTGATGGAGAAATTCTATTGCTAAAAGCAATTGATATGATATAGGTGTTTCTTCATGAACTTGTTAGATTGATATCATCTTAGTAAATGGATTATAATTGGGATATAGAGGGTTATTATCCCCAGTTACTAACCAGTTACATGTGTACGAAGCGGCAGCCGCTGCCAAGGTCACAGCAGACCATGACCGATGACCTGCAAAAATCACCAAAGTTTGTGGGTCGACTTTGATTCTGACCGTCAGATAGCCAGCAACTGAGTATGGTTTCACCTCTTAACCATCCTTTCCAGATATTTGTAGTGACCTTGGCCAGGGAAGCCGTGGAACCCCGTTACACCGTTCCCAGACTTTGCCGCTGAAATGTAGGTCGGATTTTTACCTCAGAAGTGTAGTTTTACAGTACTTTAAAGCTTATAAGGATGTCACAAGTATACTTAGATGGGCCATGGGATTGACGATTCCTGGTTAGTAACTGGGGATATAACTTCTATATCCCAATTATAATCCATTTACTAATCAGTTAGTTAATCCCATGGCCCATCTAAGTAGGAGCCCCTGTTCATCACAAAGCTCTGTTCATCATCCATGGTACCCCTCCAAGATGGTGCCCCAGGCTGTTGGGTTTATGGCAAATATGGAGGTTTCCTCATTTTCAACTGGGGGTACCCTCTGGAAAACTAACATCACAATGGACAATCACCATGTTTACTCATTTTCAATGGGTAAATCAACTATCAACGGCCATTTTCAATAGCCAAGTGTTGGTTTATTAAACTCACCGGATTTTCCATTGTTATGTTACTAGCACTGGATTTTCCATTCTTCCACTGTTAGTTTATTGTTCAATAGCGAGGGTACCCCCAGTTCATCATCCATTGTTCTTTTCGGATTTTGGCCTTGGAGTCGAACTTCCGCACTGGCGCCACCTACCCGGCGTTCCATGGAGCACAACGAGGCTTTCTAGCCGAGTAGATGTGGTAGAAAACTACCAAAAACCATGGGCATTTCATGTTTTTTGTTACTTTTTTCGTGTTTTATCATTGTTGTTCATGGTGTTTCATTGTTTTTCATGGTGTTGTTTTATTGAACTAAACCAAAACTTGAAGGCATCACCACTGAAGATCCTGGCACAAATTGATGAACTTCACCGGACTTCACCCAACAAAAAGTCTCGCGCGGACCTTGAAGTCCTCCTCGTCATCTGGGTCATAACCAGGATCTGTACCTCAGGGGAACTCTCTCGTTGCCTTGAAACTGCTGGTATCTGTGCCGAGAATTAGATGCAAACTCCTGCATGTAGGGTCAACCTTTGTTTGATGGTGCCAGGAATTCTAAGTGAAATATTCTTCTCACAGGGTTGAAACCATCAGTAAATCTGTGTCATCGGCGAAGAGCTGAGCGTCAAAGTTGTGGAGTCTTCGAACATATCGACTTCGAACACTGCTTGCTCTACCTAAACCCTTGCTTCCCCTTAATGTCCGCCCTTCATAAAGCCCCTGTCTGACAGGGTATCACTTCAAAAGCAAATTGTCATCTCCAAATTTGGCATCCAAATGATCATCACAATCCCATGGTTTTTTGTTCATTGTTCCACAATCATTGGCAACCTCCATTTTGAGACACGCCCACACTCCCACACTCCCACGTTCCACAGAATTTCCCAGTTCCATGAGATCAAGAAATCTTCGATGGGCGTGGCGCGCGTTGCGCCAAGCAACGTTTCCGGATGAGATTTCGAATCTTTGTCAGTTCTTCCTCGATGTCCTGGCTCTTCACTAAAGCCTTGTAGAGACCCGTGTCCTGCGGCGGTTTCAACTGATTGGGGATTTCATGAAGATTCAAACACCAAGCATTAGGTGATTTTAAAGGATATGGTCATGGGTCAAAACCCTGGTACCCAAACGGTACCCTAAAAATGGTTGCTTAATGGGTTATTCCACGAAATATGGTAAGAATAGGTTTTGACCCATCCCCACATGAGGAAATATCGCTATACATCAGATGTACGTAGTGCAAAGGTGTGCTTTTTCCAATTGCAAGACAGCTTCAAAGTACCCATAAAGATGCTTGGAAGTACTAAACATATGGGGTAGAATCCCCATTTTTGGGTCCATAGAGTATCAGTTTTGGTTCCGCAACAGGTTAAATCAAGCAAGACAATCATTGAAATATGTTCCTTCAGAATGCTCCGAAACATCTTCAAAACTGTCAACTGCAGCCTTGGCTATGCTATTTAAGGACTCTATAATATATATATATATGATATTATATATAATATCATAATATATATATATATTCCTTCCATAACATAGCCAAGGCTGCAGTTGACATGCATATAAATTATACACAAAGTGCTCCCCCAGTTATACAAGTTAAATTAAAAAAATATATCTATATTTGCATATCATAAACATTCATAAACCATGGCGATTGAAGTTCACCCACCAACGGGGAGTCGCCGGGTCCTCCCACTTTACCTTGGGCCCGGTGTAACAATCCAAGTAGTCGTTCCGCGGCTTGGGGCGTTCCTTGGCCTTGGGCCGAGGGAACGGGCGGAAAGGGCTATCCGGAAAGGGCTATCCGGAAAATATCTTGATAGTGTTGTTCTTGTTAAAAATAAACAAATACAGTTTCTATCAGTTTCTGGCATTTTTGGTTGCAAACACCAACTATCAATCTTTGAACATGTTCAGGATCCCTGTTGGTTTTCCCGCTAGAGAAACTCTGGGATACCATCAAATTTATATCTGGAAGCCCCATGTCTATTTTGCTTGGCAACTCCGAAAATTGTGTTGGTCAAAATTGTGTTGGTCACATTGACCTGCATTGACCCAGAGAAAATCGGATGAAATTTTATTTCTACCACCCTTTGTGGGTACTACCCTGTAAACTAACATAGGATGCGGAAAACACATGAAAACACACCATTTTGTGGATCATGTTCCTCTTCAGAAACCATGGGGTTTCCCGCATCCATGTTGGTTTAAATCCCATAAAATCACCATATTTGTTGGTTTCCAAATCCCTATCTGGTTGGTGGTGCAATAGCCATCTTGAAAAATATGAGTCAATGGGAAGGATGACATCCCATATATATATAATGGACAATAAAATTCATGTTCCAAACCACCAACCAGCTATTTTTTGATGGCTACAAAGTGACTGTTTTGGAAGGTCAAAACACGTCTTTTCTTTTCGCTTCAACGTCCCGGGGTTGGGCTTTCGGAGCGGATCTGAGCTTGGCACCAGCTGAGCTTCTTCCTGGCCATCTGTGTAGCTTAAGTTATGGCCCTTAACAGATGGGAAAATGATGGGAAAATACTGGTTGGTGGTATACCTCCCATCATTTTCCCATCATTTACCTAGGTCTAAAATTTCCCATCATTTACCAGTTTTAAACCACTATCAATGGGATTATATAACGGCCTGAACAGTAAAGCATCCCTGACACTTTCATTTACCTAGGTCTAAAATTTCTGGTTGGTGGTATACCTCCCCCTCTGAAAAATATGAGTTCGTCCAATATGATGGGAAAAAAAGCCATGATCCAAACCACTAACCACACTATCAATGGGATTATATAATGGGAATATTCATGGGATTTGATGGGGATATCAATGGGATTTGATGGGTATATATTATATATATAACTGGCGTCTTTAACCAACTAGTTACAGGAGTTTTAAAATTTCGTTGTATAAGAGCCATAACCGTAGATTTCGAAGGTCAAATGTGAAACATGGCATGTGTGGTGACTTGTCTTTTACATTCATAGCTTCATTGCTTATGTGGAATCACCATCTTTGTCCTATTCTTCTTTTGGTGAGCCATCCCATCGCAAATCGCAATGATTCTAGCGAAGTCACAAATCAGAAATCAGCCACAAAATGCTCTAGATGATTCCCCACCATGCAGAAGGTGCTTATGTAAGCTGATTTATAACCCCAACAATTCTCCTAGTTAACTAGTTAACCCAAAAAAATCAAGCAACTTAGCTAATTGAACTCAACTACTACTAACGATTTTATCAATTATAATAAACTATTATCAACTAATACCAACTATTCTCAATTATGGGAGCTTCAACTAACTTAAATCAATTATCACCAACTATAAATCATCATTCAATCCCTATTTTGTGGGTCAATTGTTCTTGGTGAAAATCCCATGAAATCCTTATTCTTCTTGGTGAAATCCCATGAAATCCCAAACAAATTCCATGTAAAATCCCTAAACATATCCATAAACATCTATCAAGAATCCCTAGATTTCTTGGTGAATCCTTACTAAATTCCATAAAACAATCCTATAAACATTCCCATAGGATCCATGTATGGTATATATGCTAACATTGGGGGTATATGGATGGGATCCATGTTACCATATATAGCATACATGGATCCTATGGAATTTATCAAAAACCTTTTTTTTTTGCCGAATTTCCCATGTTCTTTCCTTGAAGTTCAGCCACCCAGCTCCACCCGCCTGCTGCTTGGCCAGCTGCGCATCGAAGGTCACCAGGGCGTTGCCGCCCGCCGGCGGCGGTCGTGCCTGGGATTTCACTGGGTTTATAGTGGGGCCCCCAAACGTTATAAAGTGGTTTATAAACCTAGTTATAAACCTTATTAGCTATAGATAACTATAGTAATTGGTTTATAACTATATGAGAAATATGATTGGTTCATGATAGATATATGGGGGTTTCCATAAATGGTGGTACACCAATGGCTGGATGGCTTTTTCATGGAAAATCACATCTACAAATGGATGATAAGTAGGGGAACCCCTATTTCAGGAAACCTCCATATATCTTTATGTTCAATGGATTGGTTTAAGGGAAAATCTTAACCGGAAATCATATATTTTCCGGTTAAATACGGGGTTCCGGTTAAATACGGGGTTTTCCTGTTATGTTTTCCATTTGAAACCAATCCATTGATATGTGGGTTTAAATTCCAAAGGGGTTTCTACAATAACTATGGTTTTTGGTTGTCTACCTATATGGTTCACGATGATCTATAAACCCAATACTATATAATCTACCAATTCAACCGTAGGTCTATTGTAGATATGTTCACCAACTGAACGCTATTGAACATGGTGATTTATAGTGGATTTTCCCATTAATAGCATGGTGCTTTTCCATAACTTATGTTAGTTTACCAGAGGGTATCTTAATAGTTTCCCATTAAAAATGGTGATTTTCCCATTAAAAATTGTGTTTGTTTCCATTAAAAATGGTGATTTGATGAGATCATTTTTGACCAACCTTGGGATTTTTCGCCGTTTTCGCCGTGATGACCACGATGGCTTGATCCTAAGGCGGCGCAATAGCGATTCACGATGATTCTTTCAGCGGTTTTTTAACCTCTGCAGCTGCACCAAAAAAATCATCCCATCTCGCAGTTAATGAACCATTAACATTACTGCTTGGTGGTTTTAACCATCTTGAAAAATATGAAAGTCAATGGGAAGGATTATCCCATATATTCTGGAAAATATAAAATGTTTGAAACCACCAACCAGGTTAACATTAATTAACAATAACTACTAAAATCAACCACTAATGTTACTAATGACATTAACATGAACATTTACTATAAATCCACTAAGCTATCTCTTTCGGTGCCACAAACATGTGTAGGCAACCGATTCCACGCCTTGGCGGCTCCATTGGTACCGGGCCGTTGCATGGCGATATCAATTTTTGACACGTTTGTGGCTCGAGAAATTGGTTGATGGAGGTCCCATGACCCCGTTGACACCTAAATCAACTCAGAAAAAAGGTACCCTCTGGTAAACTAACATAGCTATTGAAAATGGCCATTTATAGTGAGTTTTCCCATTAAACATGGTGATTTTCCATAGTTTTGTGTATGTTTACCAGAGGGTACCCCAGTTGTTAAGGAATCGGCCAACATCACGATGATCCACAAGGCATCTTGAACCGCTACCAGGCAGCTCATCCATTTAGAAGCCGCGATGACTGAAGAATTGTCTCCCCATTTCCTGTCACTGCTAGGTGCATGTCCGTTCTTGGTCACTCCATTACATCAAGCTTTGCGGTTTGCTGCCCGGGCTATTTGATCCTCAGCAAGCTGCGATTGCTGCCGTGGAAGGAATAGCCTGAAGAAACACCATATTATATGCTAACGATCCGTCAGGTTGTCTACTATTTGTGTTTCATCTTTAATGATTAGTGATAAAATTAGATTGTTTATGTGTGTTCTGATAACGATCCATTAGGTTCCTTATGTGTGTTTCATCTTTTCGGCTTGAGAAGCCACCATCATTCATCATGGAAATCATACGTTCTATGGGCTGAACACATATCTCAGAGGTGTTTGGTTTTAACAAGTCAAATCTTCCTGCATGAACCTACAGTTATGGCCATTTATCAGTTATAACTTATAACTGGTTATAAGTGGGATTATACATTCTATAAATGGGGTTATAAGTACTTATAATTGGTAAAGGGCCATAACTGTATCAAAACAACGCAGAAGTCTCTACCCAGCACTTCTTTTCCGCCAGAGATCAGAAAACAACGAACAGACTTTGCACGTCCGCCTGAGTTGAAGCTTTACTTTGGCCCCAGAAAGGAGGCAACTGACCTGCGCATCACAAAGCGCAATTCATTCATTTCATTCATGCAGACCTTGGAAAGGAGATCCTCAACGCAAGACTTGGTTATGCTTCCCATCTTTTTGAAATATTCAACCAATTTCTACCATCATGATTGTCGTGGTATGACGTTTTACGACCGTGATAGGCTCCAATTTGAGACTGTGGACTACAAGTGGTGTCCATCACTGGACCAACTATGCATGGCTCTTTAAAGGAGCGTAATCTATTCATATCTCTTCATGCATAGGTTTCCCCGATTGACCTTCCTGAAAGCTACACTGGATGCCTTAAAACAAGTATAGTACTGTAGTTACTGTATTTCCATGATCGTCCTATGGAAACTAAGCATCTTTAGGTTCCATAGCTTCTTTTCAATTCTTTTCAATCTTACCAACCAGCAAACAAACATAAATCTGGAACTAATTTTAGCTAAACATAAATCATAGTATATATGCTTTAGGTAAACATAAATCTGGAAAATCACCATCATCAAATGGTATAGCCCATGGAACTATAGCTATAAATTGGCCATGGTCCATAGCTACTGGAATTCTTGCTAACCAACAAAGCTGGGGGCACCACCAGTGATGTTTTAGGGATGCAATGGGATAATCATGGGATCAACAGCCCACAACATCCCCACAATTACGGTGTCTTTCTTGAAAAGAATTCTGACGTAATTAAGCAGTGGATAGTTCAGGTCTTCTTCGTAGTTAGAAACAACTGAAACAACTCGCAAGATGACCACCAGGGGCCAGGGGGGTCACAACAGTAAGGCCATCCAGCTAGAACCGTTGGAGTGTTGAATGCGATGCCGTTGGTGCCAGACAGTGACAGGACAGATTATCCCTCATGGCCAAACTTTGATACCCTGCTCATTTTAGAAGTATTCCCAATCGCAAAAAGTTCAAAGTACCAATATCTCGGGGTTTCCTAAAATAGGGGCACCACCAAATCATCCCCTTTAGATTGGGATTTTCCATGAAATAAGCCATCCATTTTGGGGTACCCGTATTTTAGGAAACCCCCATGTGCCAATGCAAGGTTTATACAGCTAAAAAATCGTAGGATTAGAGTACCAGGTTGGGATCTCACCAACCTTCAAGATGGCTTTGCCACGTCAAATTGCTGCGAGCACGCCCACAAAAGAGTGCAGAACTGCACATCAAACAGCAGGCTACATAGACCTTAAGCCATAAAATTATTCTGAACATCGGTAAAAAGTAGCAACATCGTTTCGATTTTAAGAGGTAAATCGAGGATCAACGGTTTCCGGTCATGGCAGTCGAAAATTCCCCAGTTCGGTTTATGATGTTCCCACTCAAACCTCCAGGGGGATTTTCCAGCCAAGTTCACCTAGCATCCGGTAATCAAACATGGCTTGCTGGCAAATCCCACAGTCCAATGACATGCTTAGCTATTCATAGAGTATTTCCCAGCTAGCCATGTTTGATTAGGGTATTTAACATATTTTAAAATCATAGTGGAGATGCAACATCAAACATCAGCTTCATGGGGATGGCTCTTGGCATTTATTATTTGATACAAGTAGAGATCTTCCATTGACACACAAAACTCGGTGCCTGGTCTTACCTCAGAATTTGCTGCTGTTCTTACCAATTTTCATGGGCACTTTGAGTGTCTTGGTATCTCTCAAGTTGCAACTGGATACGGCACACTGTAAAAGCCTCTAGGTCGAGTGTGCGCGTGCAGCTAGTGCGGTCACATTTTTTGGAGCCACTTTTGGCTCCGCTGATCAAATGGATGAAACTTCAAGCACGAGGTCTCAACAAAGGAATGCCCTGCATCCACCTAATGTGCCATAAAATTCCGAATGTTATGGGAAACATGGGTATATTAACCAAGGTCCTTGGCATATCTATAAATATATATATATGGTGCGTTTACCTCAGATCCTCAGTTAGAACGAAATGAGGTGAACTATATAACCACTTACGTTTCGTGAGTTCTGACCCAACAGAAAGATTACACTTACACAACTTGCACAACAAGGCTCGGGTTTGTTTTCATGTGTTCATGTTGTTGAACAAATTGCTGAAACCATTCCTGGTTGATTGGCTGTGAAATTCCAACCAGAGTTATGGCCCGAAATACCAGTTATAAGTACTAACATAACCCCATTTATAGAATGTATAATCCCACTGAAATCACCAGTTATAACTGATAGCCATGGCCATAACTGCATTGTTTCAAGCATCCATCTGAGCAGTCTGTTCACAACTGAGCCGTCTTTCTCCGTCACATCAACGCCTGGAATACTGCGGGCCATCGTGATTGCACAAAGGTAGTGCCCCCAGTTATGAGCTGGTTTATCAACCCCATTACCCTCTGGTTATGTCAAAATAGCTATTGAAAATGGCCATTTATAGTGGATTTTCCCATTAAAAATGGTGATTTTCCATAGCTATGTTAAATTACCAGAGGGTAACCATATAGTTAGAAACATCTATCATAAACATCCATAAACATCCATAAAGTACCATCAACCATAGTTATACATCAACGTGGCTATGGCAAGTGCTGACTTTGTGTCGTTTTATTTCCTACGTGGTTTTTCCTACAGAGAGTCCCAAATCCTTTGTAGATTCCCACAGGCTCCATGATTTCTTCGTTTCCCCATATGTTGCTTACACCCCCAAATGTCAAAGGTTATATCCCCCCAAATCGTCCCAAATCCCCATAGTTTGTTCATGCTTTAGTTGCAGAAGGGAACCATCCTCAGATGGTTGGTTTACCCCCCCCTTCTTGTTCCATCCAATGAAAGAACATAGTAAAATGTCTAGACTCAAAAAATTGTTCCAACCCCAACCATTCGCATAAATAATTAACTAACTAATTCATATAATATTATAGTAATATTATAGTAATATCATAGTCACTAACCTGAATTAAGAGCTTTAGAAGATATATTGACCCCATGTGACCCCTAGCCATCACTCCAACAACGTCGCATGATCGGCGGACCGCCTATCCGCCATCGTCGGCCCGCTCCGCGATCCTGGAGGGAGGCGCCTCAGGTGGCTGTGATCTTGATCATTACAAGGTGGTGCCCCCAGTCGATAGCGTTCAGTTGGTTTATAACTCCAATAACTAGGACTTATGGTAGATATATCTATAGTTAATTGGTACTTAAATTCTAGGCCATGGGATTTTGCCGATTCCTGGTTAGTAACTGGGGATTTGTTACCCACAAAATATCCCAATGAAATAATCCATTTACTAATCTCATGATATTGGTACAGTTAATCATTATAATCCATTATCAAGATCTTGACCAAATATAATCCATGATATTATAATCCCAAATATTGCTACAGTTAATCATTATGATCATTATATAATGGTACAGAATCCCAGAAAACATGATCAGGTTATGTATCATTATAATCCCAAATAGTGATACAGTGATGGCCCAACTAACAGTGCCCAACTAACAGTCATGTTTATGGTATTATAATGATATATAACCAACCAGTTATAGGAGTTATATATCATCCCATATAAAAATAACTGTTAGTTGGGCCAAAACTCTAGGAAAATGTGGTGATCATCCCATTATGTACAGAACTAATCTGGTGATTTATAGTGATTTATGGTGATTTACCGCTTCTGCACAAAGCCCATTATATATATAGAGAGATATATCACTTAGATATCCACATGAAGTGCAAAGCCAGTTTCCGCTGATGTTGACTCATCTGGATCATAGAGCAGTATTCAAAACAGATCTCCTAGCCCTCTGTCTTCCCTTTATGCTTGTTGGCTAATAGTTGTTCCCAAAACTGTTTGTGGAATCCCTAAAATATTGGGTTGTATAACCCTATATATATATAACCATCCATTGACAATCCTAGATACCCTGCAAAAAAATAAATCTTTGCTGGTTAGTAGATATTCCCATTGATACCAAAAGGCTAGTTGGGACTAGTTTGTATCCATCTATAAGATTGACCTAGCATCGATCAACAAGGGTTTTTATCCCTGCTCCATTGACCATAAATCCAAACCCCGCGATGGTTTTATGTTGGCCTCCGGTTCCACGGCC